TTATCCACAGCAGAAGAAGAGTGGCTATGACTGTGACCATCTCCCCCAATATTTGTCTCATCATCTTCTGTGTTGGCCAGAGAGTGAGAGTGACCATGCGAATGCCCATGTTCATGGAACAATACAAGTCCGACACCATTGCTTAGTAATCCGGCAACACCGACAACCAACACCAACTTCGGTTGCGCAATCTCCTGAGGATCGAAAAATCTCTGGATAGCCTCAATGACAATAGTGAAGCAAAGTGCCAATAAAAAGACAGCGTTGATCAATGCGCCTAGGATCTCGGCTCTTTGCCATCCATAAGTATATTTTCCGTCCGCGGGTTTCGATTTCTTAACTTTGACGGCCCATAGCGCAATGATTAAAGAGATGATATCGTTCAACATATGGAAAGAATCTGCAATCAATGCCAAAGAATGTACACTGTAACCGATGATTGCCTCCAAGAGGAAGAACACGGTATCAAGCGCCAAAAGCGACATGATCCTGATTTCCTTACCCTTCATATTCACCAGACCAATATTTTTCTCGCTCAAATGATGAAAGAAGAAAGTTAAAAGACGGCTACCAAAAACTGTTCTGGTACGGTACTCCCCTCCATAACTGTGTATGCAGTAGATGCAGGTTTTACTGCACACTATACCGCTACTAGCAGGGTATTATTTTTTCGTTCCCTACAATGCTTAGTCTCTGATCACATGGAAGGATCTTTTATTTGATAAAGCTACAGATAATACACCACTTGGTACCTCAATTGCTATAGAACCAGATACAAATATTTCTGTACATGAATCGTTTCTTTGGCATATACATACGGCGTATACGGGACATACTTTCATGAAAAGCAGTTTCATTTTGAGGAAAGAAATGATGAAGGAGAAAGGATACAAAATCCATGAGAGTAATTGTCTTTACACTGATATCCCTACAGGTTACGTGCCGAAATGTCTCAGTTCTATGTCACTACCTTGTGATCGAAAAAAGTCTATTGCAGTGACGAATTTGGATCCAGATTACAACGGCTCTGGATCTGTATGCGTATCCTTGGCGTCGGATAAAATCAAGAGAAAAGACTCCTTCCGGAAGAAATTGGGATCATTTTTCTCTTCTAGAAAGCTGAGCAAATCTGAGCCAACCTCTGACTTTTCCGAAAAACCAACTGAGTCCTTTGGAGTCCCAAGCGCTCAAGAAGATATCACATTCCTACAAACTAATCCATATACACAAAACAGTTCATTTCAATCATCACACAGAGTGTCATCTCTTGATGTGAGATTGGAACCTCCAAGTTTTGAGCCAAGAGGATATGCGGGCTCAGTGTATCTGAAGTCTAGGTGTTCAGACAATATCTCCACCTTCAGTGTTACCTCGGAAAAATCCAGATTATCATTCTTCAGACGTAATAAAATTGCAGGACAATCGGCGGAAGAAAGTGCTGGAAGAAAAGGGAACAAGTACTACGTGAAGAAAGTTCCTTTCAAGACTATCTATGTTAAGGACTTAGTGAAGTAAACGAATTATCCCTTAAGATGATTACATTAAGATTGTCCACCATCTAGGTACATCAAGTTATCCGTGGTCACCTTCCTTAGGGTTATTCAGCTAATAATACTGGTGAAGGCCAAAATGAGCCCTAAACAAAAAAAAAAAAAAATCAAAGGAAGTACTCGTCAATTCTATGTATGGATAATGTAACATTGCGCCTATTCTTTTTTAAGATAACCGAAGATTTAACCCTTAGCATTGGGAGACAGTAGGAGCACCGCAAAGAGTACCCTCAGTGATGGAGGAGAACTCAGGCTGAATAGTGACACTGTTGATGTGATACTTGTAGAGAATTTGTCTCACTTGCGCAACAGTCTCAACAAATGAAATCTTGTTGATATGTTCGTCACCTGAATTAGCTGTGTGATTCTCGGTATCATTCAATTCAATATGGATTGATGCAATCAGAAACTCCTCGTTCAAGTTCCACACATGAAAGTCATGAATGGATTTAATAGATGGTAAAAGAGTAATTTCCTTCATAATGGCATTAGTGTTCAAGTCAGGAGGGGTTGCTTGCAACAAGATTTTGCATGCCTTGCGACACAATGGCAAAGCAGAAGAGAAGATTATAACTGTGATCAACAAAGAGACTAGTGGATCACTATAGAATCTCCATGAATAATCTGTCTTCCAAATGAAAAGAGCGGTAATGATGACACCAATGTTTCCTAAAGCATCGCCCAAAACATGCAAGAACACTCCCTCCATATTCATGGACTTTTTCTTCTGAATTTTCTTGGATTCTTTTGGGATCAAGTTCAGACGCTCGTCAATCCTTTCCACCACAGCATTCGGCATGTACTCAGAAAGATCAGTGGCAGATCCGTTATCCACAGCAGAAGAAGAGTGGCTATGACTGTGACCATCTCCCCCAATATTTGTCTCATCATCTTCTGTGTTGGCCAGAGAGTGAGAGTGACCATGCGAATGCCCATGTTCATGGAACAATACAAGTCCGACACCATTGCTTAGTAATCCGGCAACACCGACAACCAACACCAACTTCGGTTGCGCAATCTCCTGAGGATCGAAAAATCTCTGGATAGCCTCAATGACAATAGTGAAGCAAAGTGCCAATAAAAAGACAGCGTTGATCAATGCGCCTAGGATCTCGGCTCTTTGCCATCCATAAGTATATTTTCCGTCCGCGGGTTTCCGATTTCTTAACTTTGACGGCCCATAGCGCAATGATTAAAGAGGATGATATCGTTCAACATATGGAAAGAATCTGCAATCAATGGCCAAAGAATGTACACCTGTAACCGAATGATTGTCCTCCAAGAGGAAGAACACGGGTATCAAGCGTCCAAAAGTCGACATGGATCCTGGAATTTCCTTACCCTTCATATTCACCAGAACCAATATTTTTCTCGCTCAAATGATGAAAGAAGAGAAGTTAAAAGACGGCTACTCAAAAACTGTTCTGGTACGGTACTCCCCTCCATAACTGTGTATGCAGTAGATGCAGGTTTTACTGCACACTATACCGCTACTAGCAGGGTATTATTTTTTCGTTCCCTACAATGCTTAGTCTCTGATCACATGGAAGGATCTTTTATTTGATAAAGCTACAGATAATACACCACTTGGTACCTCAATTGCTATAGAACCAGATACAAATATTTCTGTACATGAATCGTTTCTTTGGCATATACATACGGCGTATACGGGACATACACACTAAAAAAAAAAAAAAAAAAAAAAAAAAATGAGAATCCTCTTCCCAAAAAAAAAAAAGGCCCAAAAAAAAAATTAAAAAAAGGGTCTGCAAATTGATCTTGTCCAGTGTCCTGGGCATAAAGATAGACTACTCAAAGCCATTGGAATCTTGCTGCCCTTCACTTTGATGAGTTCATCAAGTCATTAAACGTTATCCTTTGTCCTGCAGGTGCAAATTGCGGTTGTGTTGCATGCAAATTCTGTGGATGTACGAATGGCTGAGAATGAAGAGGCATAGGTGCCTGTGGAACAGCTGTAGGTGGATACAGGTAGTTTATATAACCTTGTGGGCTAGCGTAATACTCGAAACCAGGATGTTGAGGGACAGAATTTGGATAGGGCGCAACCGGATATCTTGGAGGAGGTACTGCTGGCATGCCCTGGTACACGAAGGCCGGATGCAAATTCATGCCCGCATTCTGGTTGGAGAACTGTTGATTTGCAGGTTGATGATTTGGTGTTTGAATAGGAGAATGTTGGAGACCCGGGGTCTGTGGAGATGGTTGGCCCAAAGGTAATGATGATTGTTTGGGAGAAGATTTGAAAGATGGTTTGGGCAAGGCCAAGGCTTCAGGAGAAGAATGGAAAGACGACCCAGCGTAACTTTCTTCTCCGGACTTCTTGCTCATATCGCCAACAGTAGATTGGCCATTATTGTTGCCACTCGCAGCCTTGTTGGAGACCTTTTTGTTAGCCTCATTCGCAGCATTCTTTGTGGCAGGGCTATTATTATTATTATTCTTTCCCTTCTTCAGTTTTCTCAGTTTCTCCTTACTATTTGGGTGGTCCTTCTTGTCTTCTCCAGTTCCAAAATCTGGTTTATCGCCATTAGGAAGAACAGGTTTCGACTTGCGAGTCTTCTCCTTGGAACTTTTATGAAAGGTTGGAGTATCCCCATTTGGTAACTGGCGTTTCGGCTCGTTGACGGGTCTGTGTTTGTTGGTTTTCTGGTTTGCCCCTGGATTGTTGGGTGGTCGGACCAGTAGAGCAACTTCGTGCGCCAACATGTGAAAAGTTAACTGTAGTGGACTTTTACAAAGAACAGGATGAGAAACAAAGTTCGATGTTGTTATGAAAAGTAAAACAGTGTGCAAAGCAGCTAGGTGCAACAAACAGAAATATATTGATGGTGAGAACAGACATAAAAGGATTTAACCAACACATAGTGTGTGGGGGTAGTGCGCAAACCAACATGACCTCGTGACCCTTCCTTGTTGAGTCAGCCTAATCATTCTTTATGTGCCGTCCAAATTCCAACTGAAACCTGTTTGTTGCAATACACTATATAACTAGATGAATAAAACCGTCGGTGCTCTAAGAAGCCATTATAGTATTCAGCAAAATTATGACACACATACCCAAAATTCCCCAAATCATCACAAAATTCGGGCGGCCACTAAAGGAGACCGCAGAGCCGAACATTGTAAGAGCAATCACCGTAAGAAAACCGCTCGTAACTGCCATGGTTATGCCAAATACATAATTCAACTTATCCAAATTAATATCACTCTCTCCGGCATGATTCAACTTCATGAAAAAGTACCCTGCGAGAGCACCCAAGGGCTGAGAGAGGCCACCCAAAACTGCACTGATAGAAACTGCCTTTAGCTTTCTCATGGCTGGATTCCCTTGGAAGGAATAGTAAAGGGGGAGGCACATCAGGAAACCTTCAGTAAAGTTGTGGATGAGCAAACTAAGGAAGATGGACAATCCTAACTCTGGGTTTGTTTCAGAGGTAACATAGGTAATGAAGCCTTCAGGAAACTTATGCAACGTAATGGCCAAAATGGTCTGCACAGCGATAAGTAAGAGCCGTGATAATGGGGAGTTTGTGTGGTGATGGTGATGCTCCTTCTGTAAGTGATGTAAATGTTCTTCAATTTCTTCCGTCTGATGCATGTGAGAGTGAGAGGAGTGACTGTCGTGATGATCAGGAAAAGATGTGTCTTCCCCTTCATTCAATCCTTCGTAATCATGGATAGATGCATCGTCCAGTGACTTTAATTGGGGTATCTCACAGAAGTGAAGCTTGTCCCCATTATGAAGACAGAGTTCAGCAGAAGAGTATCCTTTACACTCTCCCATGAGCTGAGGTTCCTCATTTTCAGGCATAAAAAAGTGTATGATCTTCTGTGATGTTTTACGACTCAAAAGAGGCGCTCTTTCAGTGATTTTGAGCGTAGCATTCTGGCGACTCTCAGAAGGTTCTGGGTTATATAAGACAGGTTGAGTTTCCTCGTCAGAAGAATGTGTATGTGAGTGTGAATGGCTCTTAGCACCCGCATAAGACAAATCTTTATCTTGAGTCTCATGAGAGCAATGGACAACTGATTCGGAAGTAAGAACGTGCAAGATTTCATTGAAAGCATAGCAAATCAACATACCACCGATAAATGATATAGAGTGAATAGCAACAGCTTGCAGACCAGTGACTTTCCCTGAAGATTGCAAGTGATTCATTGCCTCCGGCAAAAGTCGATAAAGGGCAGTGAACATCAAACAACCAGCACTAAAACCAAGTGATCCATTCATGAACGAATAGTTCCCTTTCAATTGAAATGAATGGCGTGTTGTAAACCACGTGGGGAATAGCAACCTGTAAAGATCATCAATGTATATGATGAAACATCCACCGACGCATAGCAAGGAGGATAACGTGGTAAGATACCATCCTTGGTTAAAGTCACTTTTCAAAAGTGCCATCATCAAAAAGATTCAAGGCGTATAGTTGGAAATAATAAGTGGAGGAAAAAATGTACGAAAAAAAAAAAAAGTTGTAGGTATAAAGCTTATCAACTGGGATAGATAACCTTTGTGGTTACAGGCATTACAAGCAAGTTCAGGCATGATGCATTATCCTGCATCTAAAGAAATATGCTGACTATACAAGAGTATAAAAGAAGAGGGGGTATGCATTATTAGATTGAATGAAGCAATCAATCATTCTTGGGCCCTTCCCATTGGGGTAATTCAGTGTATTTTCTTGACTTTGGTTTCTTGTGGTTGAATTTCACCTTTTTTAGGAACGACAAGTCGGTGTTCCTTTTGTTCAACAAGACAAAGAGGTACATACCAAATGCTGCAACAAGAACACAAAGAGGCAAGGACATCATTACCATGTATTTTTCATAATCGATACCTTCTTCGACAACGTAGTCATCTCCAAGTTCTGCTTTCAATCTTTCTCTTTCCTCTTGCTTTTTGATGTCTTCAAGGTGTCCTTTGGCTACTTTGGCACCTTTGGCAATTTCCACAACCACAAAATTCTTCATACGATCAAATTCTTCATCGTCGACAGTGTCTGGCTGAAGGGAAATCAGAATTTTTCTGTAAAAGTCGTCCCCAATCCACTCAGGATCCACTGTTATCGGTAAAAGTCCTTCATCTTTAGCGACCCAATCTGACACAAAGAACGACTTACCATCCAACAGACCCCCTTTCTCCATCACAGAAGATCTCTTGGAGTATTTGTCGACAGAAACAGTCAGATTCATCACTTCATCTCTCTTAAGACCTTTTTGTCTAAGAGATTCTCTGACATAGGACAAATGAAGTCTTACATTCTTTACTTCATCGTCAAAAAAGCGATGATACCATGTAACAAAGTATGTTTTATCCGCTTTCCAGTTCGAATTGTCACTTGGGAAACAGAAGGGCTCGGACGACTTGTCTTTCGCCATTCCCTTTTTCTTGTAGAATTCCGGAGTACATCTGATGATCGGATTCAACATTTTATATGTGAGATCCTCAGGTAAGTATTCCACATGCTCGAAAATTTGATCATCTTCTTGGTTGTGAGCTTGTAATTCTTCCTTGGTATAGGTCCGGGTGACAGGAGTTTGGAACCAAGTATTATAGTCTGGTGACTTGTTCTGGATCTTGCCATTTTTCATTTTGGGCTTAATTGTCTTTGGAGAACCATCTTTTTTCAACGAAATCCATGGTTCTAAGCCATCCGTTGTGGCCGGGGGCTTTGCGCTGAATGTGACACCAGCGATGACAGTAGGAGTCACAATCTCCTTTTTGTTCGAGTAAATGGTTCTCAACCACGGAGAGGGGCCGTCATCAGTTGTTGGAGGAGAACTCTTCATCTCTTGGAGTTTTTTGTAGTCCTTGTTCACCACCACATCTTTGTATCTCTTTTCAAGCAGGACGGTCGAATCAGTGATTTGGGCGTCCACCTCTTTAACTGTGACAGTGGCACAGTTAACTACCGAGGTTGTAACTAGCAACCCCCAGATGTAGGCGAACTTCATGCTTGCTTTTGTTTGTATTCGACTTGATTTGCCAGGTGAGTTGTGTAGCGCGCGATTTTACCGTTTCCTGAATGTTTCCACTGCCTCGGATCAATGGTCTTGCAACCACCAATTTTTGTCAAAACATAGAAAACATAGGTGAAATAGGCAGCTTTATGCCTCGACGTAGCCGATTTTTTTACTGTTAAAGATATAGGTGGGTCCAAAAGAGCAGGAAAGTACAACGTCTACGAAAAGTCGTCGTTACTCTGATGGTATGCACCTGGATTCGTTCTTTGGCAAAAGATTCCATCATTTTATACATGAGAAACGTATAAATGAAACTATGCTGAAATTGCCATACAGTTCCCAAAAATAATGGAAAAAATAAGAATACAAATATTCAAGTGAACTCTTATTTCTTACAGGTCATTTTCGAAAAGAAGATGTGTATTGGAATGGAAAAAGCCTTTTGTTTCTTCAAGGATTTTTTATATAGCGCTGCGGGTAACCTCTTGCGTATAGATTAGTACCGCACTAAGGACATGAGGTACAACACTTCATTTTTCAAGCTAGGAACTTCTAGACCCAGTGCACTTCGAAACGTTTCTGGGACCAATGATGTATTCAATGCTTCCGTTATGGTATATGCAAATTTCCAAAAGGCTGGAGATTTCTGTTTCAAGTAATTGGCTATGAAGTTATCTGGAAGGCCCGCAAATGTAAGTGAGTGAAAGTATGCGTAGAGTAAAAGTTCTGAAGAGGAGATTTTCTTAGCCCGAAATAGGTGAGCAAAATCGACAGGAGAATTTGGATTGAGCTGTTTGAAAAGTCGCTCAACGTGCGATATTTGTTCGCCCAAAATGTTTAGGCAACGGAGTGAGTTCCTTGATTCTCGAAGTATCGCCTTATCTTTCAGCTTGGCTAACATCACTTTTTCATGTAAAGAACTTATAGCAACTTCATCTTGTTCACCTTCATTTTCATCGTTGAACGTTTCCGTTTCTGGAGTTTCGTCCCCCACAGAGAAGGAGAATAGACTGGTTTTGTTGACTCCGAGTCCAATGATCTTAACTTGTTCGCTTGCAGACTTGAAGAATTTCAACGGCTGGTTGTACATCATAGGGAAGGGAAGATAGGAGCTGAAAAGCTTTCTCGTGTAGTTCTCATAATTTTCGGTATTGACGTATAGGTTGTACTGGTTGACGTATTTGGTGGTATTGTTCAAGAAGGATATCAAACTAAAGTTGGCCAACTGATCTGTTGTGGAGAGTTTGACATCCGGTACATATTTTGTGCTATCGGCCGGAAACTTTTCAGAAATAAAGTGTGATATTTCTGAAAAGCCCTCATACTTCCTTGTAGTTCCATTTCTTCTTACCAACAATAAGGGAAGTCGTCCTGAATCTGACAAGTTGGTATTGCATGAAGTGACAATGTTGTAGGGTATTTGCTGAGGAGTCAAATGAATACTGAGTAGCCAAGCTGAAGCCAAGCTCTCTGGATCTATAATTGATACTTGTTTATCGGCACCCCATATGTGCAATTCTATCATTAGCGGATTTGTAATGATCTCTCTATTCTTACGGTATCACGTAGTCTTCGCTGGTAATCTGAGTGAGACACGCCGCGCATTAACTAAATTCTGAGAAAAGAATCTTGGTGATTAACAATCTGTTCAGTTATCATGGCCACAACGACAGATGCAAGTGGTCAAAATCGATCAGGTGTTCTTGGACAGCTCGAAGATGAGATTGCGCAAAACCCATTGGACCATAAGAAATGGGGGCGGTTGATTGAGCATGTGATCTCCAAAGACGATGAGGAACAAGTTCGCTCAGTGTTTGAACGTTATTTTGCCATTTTCAAATTCGATGCTAGACAGTGGAGCAACTACATTAATTTTGAATTGAACAAAGGTGAACAGGGCAAAGTTGTTGATCTCTTCGCCAAGTGCCTCCCTATTACAGATGACGTCGAACTATGTCGGACATACGTTCTGTACGTTAGGCGAACAAATGATATAATCACAGGCGGCGAACGAGCCAGAAATACTGTTGTTCTGGCGTTTGACTTTGCAGTCGATAAAGTCGGCTGTGATATTGACAGTTTTGAATTGTGGAATGACTATTTAGACTTTTACAAGACATGGACCCCAGCCACTTCGTACGAACAACAGCAAAAAAACGACCTTATAAGAAAACTTTATAAAAGATGTCTTGTTATTCCAAATGCCAAGATAGAAAAAATGTGGTCGGAATATACGAAATGGGAGAATGAAGTATCGTCGCCTAATGTTGCCAGCAAATTCATTGCTGACTTGTCTACAGAATATATGGAAGCCAGATCATGGAATACGGAATGGCACAGCGTGACAAAATCCTCTATAAAGAGAAGAATGGTCGCATTATCCCCAACCAATGACCCGAACGGTGTATTGGCTGAACAAGTTGAGCTTTGGTTCAAATGGCTTGATTTAGAAAAAAAGAATAGCTTGAACTTGAAAGAGGAAGAGCTTCAGCATAGAGTAGAGTATGTTTTCAAGCGAGCAATCTCTATTTTACCTTTCGTTCCTGAAATGTGGTATCGGTATACTAGTTTTCTCGTCCTGGGTAATGAAGAAGCAAGCAGGAACAAATGCATAGAGCTCCTTTCTGATGCATTGAAGTTAAATCCCCGCAGTTTTCTCTTGAGTTTTCAGCTTGCTGAGTTCTATGAGAAAGAAAGTGCATTCCCTAAAGCGCAAGGTGTATTTGATAGCTTAATCAAAATCCTTGTTAAAGACCATTCCTTAATTCAGTTACAGATTGAAAAGCTCAAATCCTCAAAATCCAAATCTTCAGAGATGATCAAAAAGAACAAACTGATGGAAAAAGAACATGGGGCCAGTAGCGACAGCGATGAGGACGACGACGATGAACCTATAATCCAATACTCAGAATCAGAGGCCTTAAAACTACTTGATTTAGAACTTCAACTCTCAGAATTGAACAAGCTGGTTACCAGTGTTTATGTAAATTTTATGGCTTTGTGCAAACGATCTCAGGGTATCAAAGAGGTCAGGGCGGTGTTTAAGCAACGTAAAAATTTCAAGCCCATGGGGTATGAATTCTATGTTGAAAATGCCTTGATAGAGTTTTATTCTGACAACAAAAAGATTTCTGACAAGGTGTTTGACTTGGCGATGAAGACATTCAGCAAGGATGGGGGTTTTTTGTATGCCTACTTGGAGTATTTAATACTCACTAACTCTATTGAAAGCTTGAAAGTGTTTTTTGAGATGGCCATAACGAACCTCCTGAAAGAAATTTCTAACGACAAGGAGCTCCTTCAACTATCAACAACTAATATTTTGCATCAAAAGAAGAGAGCTGAGAGTCTAAAGCGCAATCAGTATTTTATGAAAAAAATGTTCCGCAGGTATATCCGCTTTGCTTCATGTTACCTAAACTTGGACACTGTCTTGTTACTTGAAAAGCGTTATAGCAGTTTCTTCCCTGATGATGATGAAATGTCTTTGTTTATTGATAGATACAGCAAACCATTCGATGGAATAGCAAAGTATGATTTGGGAGAGAGGGTTGTCATTGGTTTTGAAGACGATGAAATGGACATAGAGGAAAAAGAAAACGGGCTTCCTCTCAAAAAGAAAAGAAAGACTAATGATCGCGACAACTACTCACCAGAAACCTCTAATGGTAAATACGATGGGGGATCATTCAATCAACAAATGCCTGGAAATTCGCAACAGCATGGCTTTGTTGGAAATACAATCTACAACTTATTGCAAGTCTTGCCCAATGCTGGTTACTTTGGGCCGCTCTCCGAGCATGTTTTCAATAGCTCAAAATTGGTTGAATTGTTCGGTAACTTGACGAACGTTCCGGGTGATTCTTGAAAAGTTTGGCAAACGTCTCGAGACCTATGCAAATGTAATGTATTCTTTACCCTCCAAAATATGTACAGAATTAAGAGTATCCTAAAAAATTGTAGACCTAGAAATTTCTTGTCTCTTCGCTGAAGAAATTAAGGGTGTCTTCATAAGAGGGCTTAAAAGCCCAGTTGTTGTAAACATTGTAGATATAGTCCATATCCTCTTTCGAAAGCTGCTTGGCGCTCTTTTCCAAGATTTCCGAGGGGATCTTAGATCCCAAATCGCTGTCTGCTCCTGGAGCCAAAATATTAAGCGATTCCTTGACCGTATTGCTAGACTTATACATGAATACTTGCGTTAGGTATTCCACGGCATTTACATCAATATCTGGAAGCTCTTTGGGTACGACTTCAACCACTGCCAAATCACCACCAACTGGAAGCACGGACGAGTTAGGCAAAACTAACGGCTGGTCTTTAATGAGTAAGTTTGGATCATAGCTGTCTCCTGCTATACCCTTACTGTCAACCAGAATGTCTGAAACAGCAACGAGTTGCATATCCGTAAACATGTCTCTTTTCAATGAAGCCCTATTCCTCTTCGAAAAGTTAGGCCCTGAAAGGAATTTCAGTGCAGTTGCCTCCCGCACAAGAAGAACCATTCTGACTCTTCCATATTTTTGAAGCCAATTCTGATATGCACAGCACATAATCCACTGGGCAAAAAGAGACTCGCCAAACTTGTTTGATGATATATTGGCTAATATTAGTAGCTCATCGTGGATCTTACTTCTCGGTTGCACAGATGGTTGAATCACCTTTAATTCTTTAAATAGATGATCGTATGTTTCCCATGAGTGCCCGTCGTTGTTGAAATAGCGGAAATTCTCTGCGTTCCCGGTAGTCTTCTCAAGAAAACTGAGCCTGTTTTTCCAAATCTTTTCATTATCTTTCGTTCCATCGATGATTAAGTGGTTCTTAGGTTTGAGCTCATAATTAACCATTGTCGAGAATAAGCCATAGCCTGCAAAAACGTCTACTATGTCGAGATTTCCTTTAGAGTTTGGATACTTTTGCCTGAGTTGGAGTCTATCAATCACCTCTTGACAGACTTTCGGCGTCACTATGTTTTTAAACCCATATTGATGCGTTGTACGAGGTAAGGCTTCAAAGTGGGGTATTAACCGAGGATTAAGCGAACGTAAAGCCATGGAACGCAAAGAGTTCTGTTTGCTAGTTGTCACAGGACTAGTATTCAAAAATATGGAACTCATCTCCACGTGATTCCCGCATATACATGAACACAGAAGGCAAGATAAAGACTTAACAAGTTTTCTATGTCAGTGAATACAATCCAATGCAAGACAACATCCGGTGGCAGTGAGATACCATTCAGTTTAGACCTGGGGGAGAAATTAGCTTTCAGGACAACAACTGCAAGACAAACATTCAGCCTACAACTGTGCAACAATAGCAATAGCAGTACATTAAAAGTTAAGATTGCAGCAACAGACGGACATATTTATGTTACAAACAAGAGACTCGTGTACATAACGGGTAGTCAAGGAGACTTTGACTCGTTTGTTGTTGATTTTAATCATGCCTCACAAATTCAATTCTCGCATACATTGAAATGCCCTTGGATCGGGGCAAATTATTGGGAGTTCATGTTTTTTAGTCCGGCAGAGCCTATCTGCGATGGTTTACCAAAGAACGATTGCTTTAAGGGACAGATCGTTTTCAAGGACGGTGGCCTTTACCGATTTGTGGAAGTTTTGAATGTGGCAATCAATGACATCGTAAACAACTCAAACATAGATGATGAGCTTCCACGATACTCCGAATTGTAATGATGCAGGCCACTTACAGGAGAATCATCTAAATACGTGTTATTAATGATTTAGAATGGCAAATTGTCACCAAAACTATCTCCTTTCATAAAGGAATTGATGTCTATCCCGTCGTCATCGGGAGTGAGCACGGAATTGTTCACAGGTTGTTTCACAGAGGTTCCTCCAACAAGCGGTTTAAGCAGATGTATATCATCGAATTCTTTAAAATCGAGGGTTCGTGCCTTCTCCTCTTCATCGGCCGAAGCATATAAATCTTTGTAGTTCAGAATTGCCAAGTTTTCCAAAGTAGTTGCATCGTTATAAACCAAGGAACCTTCTTCGTTATAGATCCGGGCATTGCTGAAGATCATATGCAAATCTTCTAAAAATTCCCTTATGTTAGTGTATGTTTTGTTACCAATCCGTTTTTTGACTGTGTCCAACGCGAGAGGATGTTTGATCAAAACGTAGTAGTCGGGGTAAAGGCGCTTGGAGGGCTTGACCATGAACATATCACTTAATTTGCGGTTGTTCTCTTTGTAATCGAGCAAGTTACCGTAAATAATGTCCATATTATTTTGCAACTGAAGGCGTTCCTCTGGAGCAAGATAATCAACAGTAGGCGTGTTTCTATTAGTTGAGCTTTTGATCTTTGGTCTTCCTACCCTTGGCCTTCCCTTCCCGCGGGATCCTGGAGTAGCAGACCGCGCTCTTTTTCCGCCAGCGTCTTCGTCGCCATCTCTTTTTCTTTTTGCAGATTCACTGTCCAAATCCTTTCTGCGAGGACGTCCCTTCTTTTTCAACAGAGATTCCGTATCGGATCCATCTGAAACCACGCCTTCAATTTTCTTAAGCCATTCTTCCTCAGTCAAATTGTCATCATAAACAGCAGTCTTTCTCTCCCGGCTGCCTCTGCTATACTCTTCAATAATTTGCTCCTCTGTTTTGTGAAAGATTTCAGGGTCCTTCTGATAAACTTCTGGAAGTTCTTGCTCAGTGAAAAGTCGGGAGCTATATGAAGCATTTTTTGTTTCGATGGCTCTTTCGCTGTCCAACTCTTGGAATACTTTAATTTCGTTGTCATTTCTGGCAATAATCTGGTTAAGTTCATCATCATCCAAGTCGTCATCACTGTCCTCGTTCTTTTGCCGTCTTTCTTCTTCTCTCTCCATCAAAGCCCTCAACATGGCTTCTTGTTCTTCAGCAGTCGACTTGTTGTCAAACTTACCTGCTTGAATAACTTTACCATCAATTTCTAGTTTCGCAACTGCTCTCTCTAAAACCATTTCTTCAATAGAGTCTTCAGTGATCAACCTCAAAATTCTGACTTCATTTTTCTGACCGATTCTGTGAGCACGATCCTGAGCTTGTAAATCTTGATGTGGGTTCCAATCCGAATCGAAGATAATGACAGTATCAGCTGTTTGTAAGTTTAATCCTAACCCACCAGCTCTCGTAGATAATAAGAAACAAAAGTATTCAGAATTAGGTTCGTTGAAAAGATTCAAGAGATAAGTTCTATCATCTGCTTTCGTACCACCGTCAAGTCTCATATACTTCATACCACGTAACCGCAAAAAGTCCTCCATAATATCCATAATTTGTGTCATTTGGAAAAATAACAAAACTCTGTGTCCTGTTTTCTTGAACTTTGGTAGGACCCTATCTAATAACTCAAATTTGCCAGCAACACGCCAAATGGTATCATTTGTTTCAGCCTGCGGGTTGATAAGATTTTCAACCTCCTCATAAACGAATGGATGGTTGCAAATTTTTCTGAGTTGCATTAGTTGATTGTTGGCATTTTTAATGGTATTTGGCTTTTGGCCAGTACCACCACCGGTAAAAAGCGCATTATATTTTAACATCATCCGATACAACTTCGATTGTAATGAGGACATCTTGCACTTGATAACCTTTTCAACTTTATTTGGTAAGTCTTTCTCCACATCCTTCTTCAATCTTCTCAATAAAAATGGCCTTAAGACTTTATGCAATCTTCTGATAACCAACAACGTCTCTTCTTCACTCAATTCAATCTTATCTTGACCACCATTATTTGCAAATGGTGTATTAAACCATTCATCAAAAGATTTGACAGAATTAAAGATTTTCGGCAACACGAAATTTAAAAGCGCCCAAAGTTCTGGTAAGTTATTTTGCAACGGTGTACCTGTTAAAATCAACCTGTAGTCACTGTGGTAATAGTGAGTCAAGGTTTCTGAGAGTTTAGAATTGGTATTCTTCATCCGGTGTCCTTCGTCAATTATCATGTGTACCCACTTGATTTTGGATAACAAACTCTTGTCCTTGATTACGTATTCAAAGGTAGTAAGCAAAACCTGGAAATTGAGCAGCTTGATGTCATGTTGCATAACTTTTCTTTGAACAGGTGTACCTTTGTAAGTAATCTTTTTCAATGTAGGAGCCCATTTTTCAAATTCTAGATTCCAATTAGTGAGAGTGGATAATGGAACTATAACAAGATATGGCCCCGAAATTTGTTTTTTCTCGCTTAAGTAGGCAAGCAAAGATATCGTCTGAATAGTTTTTCCCAAACCCATTTCATCTGCAAGAATACCATTCAAGTGATTATTGAACAAAGAAACCATCCATTGTAAGCCTTTTAGCTGATATTCTTTGAGGGTGCCACCAATTAATATACTTGGTTGCTGAGTGACTTCTTCCTTTATACGATGAGCAATTTGATAGTAATCAACTTTTTCTCTCTTCTCCTCATCTAGAGGAGCCTCATCCTCAACAGGTCTGTTGCTGCTCGTAGCATTACGCTGCGATTCCCTTTGCTGAGTTTGCACTGCTTGCGCAAGACTGTCCAAAAACTGATTAGTTTGATTTAACAAATGAGTGATTCTGGTGTCTTTTGTATGATCAAGCAATTTCAAGTAAGCTTCTTCGTCGTTCAGTCTCAAAGCCTGCAAACGTTGCTTTGCCATCTTCTCCAACTTCTTCTGTTCCTCCTTTGCTGTTTGCGAATGGAAGCTGTTGATTTTGATTGCCAACCTATCGTTCTTTTCTTTACGGGCAGTAAGCTTCTCTCGCTTGTTCGAATTGAAAGATAAAATCTTGTAGACTGTTTCCTGGTGTTTTCTGTTTTGTGCTTGAACGATAGAATTGAGCTGCTGCTTATAGAGCTCTTCTGTTGCAATGACGTTCTCCACTGATAAGTCGGCAAACTTTGCCAAAAAATTGGGGTGTGAGTTGGGTAACAAAGACTTGCTAAACCACAACTGGGAAAGAATTAGTCCCCGGACTTCCTTTTGATACCCAAGCAATTCGAGTTGTGTTAATTCAGCAAGTAAGAGCTCTTTCTCGTCATCGTTAGAAGCTGAATCCAAATCCTTTCTCAAAGCTTGCATTCTCTCATTGACGCGAACAAGAATGAGCGCCTCTCTTGTGTTCACAATATCGTCCACATTTACGGCGTTCGGAAGCACAGCAGGAATGCGTATTTTGCTTTGAGCAGCGTACAAACCGTTGAACGGTATCTGCTTACTGCTATCATCTGTGACCTTGGGTAGGGAGAATGTATCCACCTGCACATTTGGTTTGCTGATTGGCACCACAAGCTGCTTCGATACATCAACGGAGTCAGAAAAACTACCAAATTCCATTGGAGGTTCTGCTGGACGCGTAATAGGCTGGGTACCGGTAGGAACCGATGCGTGGCCCGTTTTTGGCGTTGTTGTATTGGATTTCGATTTGGATAATCTTTTACCCGAAGACTTTTTTGGATCTGGTCTGTCCTGTGGAGTGGCCACAGGCTGCTGTGAGGCTTCGACAGCTCCAGTTGACGTCTGGAGCCCTCCATGGGAGGCTCGCATAGTACTGGTAGGTGTAGCCAGCTGGTAAGGCATGTGTGGGGACTGGGCAGGTACCTGTGGGGTTACAATAGGCTGCGGAGGCAGAGCTGCAGATGATATGGGTGCAGAAGGTGCCGAGTCCCCGGTTGAAAACGCCATTCGTTCGTTGGTAGCCATGTCTATGAGGTTCTGTGGGATAGGAGCAAACCCACTGTGACCTGGATTTTTGAACAAAAGCTTGACAGCCTGATTCTGCAGTTTGAGAAGTTGCATCTGCTGGGCGGACATTGGGCTGACTGCGCCATTTGGTTGTCCCATGTATCCCTGGGTTGGTTCTTGGCTCGTGTGACGTCCCATGCCTTGGACGACACCTTGACTCATGCGACGTCCTGCCTGAGCACCCATACCTGCCATGTTATTGGTCATGTTCTGATGTGCTACCATCTGTGGCCCTTGTCGGGCACCCAGCGGCATGTTGTTCTGATTCATGCGTTGCTGGGAAAAACGCGGAGTCGGCTGTGCTGCCATCGATGGTGTAGGGGCCATGCTGGGTGGAGTCTGCTGCATGGGTGTCTGGGCCATTCCCATCATTCCCATGCCACCTAGTCCTTGCTCGCTTCCTGCAAGATTTGATTGACCATTCCCGGTGGCCATGTTTCCGGTGGTATTGCCCATAGCTGGAGGCATATTTCCTGCCATGTGCATGTATTGCTGTTTCTGTTGCATCTGTCCCGCAGGCTGTTGTGGCTGCATCTGCGCCTGTTGCGTCTGTTGCGCCTGCTGTTGTCTTTGCATGTTCTGTACTTGGATGTAACGTATTATCTTTGTCAATTGGTTGAACTCGGGCACGTTGACCGCCTGGTCACCGTATTGCGCCTTAAGCTGCTGCCAGCGCTGGAGATAGCGCTGGATTTCCTCGCGTGTGGGCTGTCTGTTCATATGGCCAGGACAAGTGCAAGTATTCGTGAGGTTTACAATCCTCGCTTTGGGAGTGTGACGTGCGCACACCAGAAACGCGCAAAGGCGACTGGTAGTCGTGAATAGGAATAAGAGACAGTGCGAGTTAATGGGACGTCAGGACACGTTAAGCCACTCTATCTTTGAAAATTATATGGTTCAAAATAAGATGGTTGTTGAGTATGTTTAATATCCTACTTACCTTGGCATTGTTTCTGTTTATTCTTTTTTGACCTTTTTTTTTTTTACTTGTCGAGTTCTTCGCAAGCTTTCGCATCTACTGTAGATATAGCCCGCTGTTTCTTTGTTATTCGATATGGGTTGTCTCCAGTTGTCGTTCTTCTTTTCGAATTGCCGTGACCTCTGGGTGCACGCTGTCTTTTCTCTGATGAATATCTTTGTTGAGTACGCCGGTTCAATCTCGCATGTATGCTGCCTATAGGTTCAAACGTCAAAAATGTCCCCTCAACGATACCTCTACACATTGAGGTGAAACTTCCTAGATGAATGAGTCTTGTATTGGTAGATACCTTGCGTGACATGTTGCATTACTACAGGCATTCGCAGTTTCTAGAATGTAAGGCCTGCTTGTACACATGGGCCACTGTATGTCACTACTTACGGCGCATACCAATTCATTTTTATTGCTTTCATCACATACTTCGGTTTCATGTACTTGTTATGTTACTATTACCAACTAATGATAGTCCCATCTGCATTCTCTCCTTGTATCAAATAGTTGACAAAAACAGCCGAGAAATATCGTTGTTAGGTTCTGAATACTAGAGGTGATGTATATTCAGGCGAATTTCTTGGTTCCTGGCTTGCAGCTATATTGGGAGGCCACATTTTGTACAGTGCATATTTTAGGTGAGTCGTAGCTCCTCTGTCGGAACTTCGGCCCATACACGGTAGAGCATATCAGTCTTCATCCTGGGTCGAGTATCCATATGGCCGGAGCAGCTGAAATGGTCGACCTAAAAATCATTACTTGGACGGTTTCTCGTTGGGCATTCTATTTCAAAATGTTGCACATAAGGAAATTTCATGAAAATAGTTCCGCTAGTTTACTGACGGTGATACACAGCAAATGAGCAGAAGGAGTTGCACACGTGCTCGTGAATTTATGATTTATTCTGAGCAGACTCTCCGGACCCTTGTTGTGGCTTTTTTCTTCTCCTGTTTTTCTTCTTTTTTGGTTTACTAGGTTCTGATGGCATCCACACTTTGCCTTCTGGGCGCGGGGCGTAATTTACCATGTTAAAGTCTTCCTTTATTATGCCCTCCACTTTAGACACGTTCCCTGTAATTTCTTTAGCTCGCCGCAGTTGTTTCCCTTTCTTTAGTCCCAATGGTTTGTAATCATAAAGAGACGTGTCTATACGGGTAAGAATAGGTTTGCTCTCGTACATGTCATGTTCAAAGTTGAATTCGGACCCTGGAGCTTTTAACTGGGATTCAGTAATGTCGTGGGCACAGAAGAGAAGTAACTCTGCTTCATTAACATTCAAACAATCGACCCCAAATAAACCAACTTTCCTTCTAGAGACATCCTCCGTAATAACATACCAGCGTTCACTGCTTTTTCTCTCAATGAAAGCTTTGAAAACGCATGATCGGATCAAGAACTTTGTTCCCATATCCAAATCATCAACATTTTCTTTATGCATTGTGTATTTCAAGGCTGTATTCCACGTAGGAAAAGAACGTGTGCGAGACTCAAGCTCCACGTTGTAAGAAAGCAAGTTCTTCTCAGGCGCAACTTCATTTGACATTTCGTTGTTCGTGGCATCGGAATCAAGAATCTGATCAAGAAAGGAAAGTGCCCACTTCGCATTTGGACCTTGAATACTTGAATTTCTCCTGATATCTTGCAACTCGTACAATGTATTTGCTGGGATGTAACAGTTTATCGAAAGATTCTCAGCGGCTTTCCCTTGATTCTTCAAGAGTTGTGCAGTTGAGTACTTTGCGTCAAACCAGCGTTTAACATTCCCCATGCCTTGAAGCAAGGCAGAAGTATCTAATATAAAATTTAGAGACCTTGAGTTTGAGACTTTTGCATCAGATTTAGGGGTTTGGTTTGCTTCAAACGAATCGCCTGTATCAACTAATGGCTCGTGCTCTAATCCGTCGGTATCTTCCATTAGCAACATACTTCCAACAGAAGATCCACCATATGACGATCCGTGTGCATTTTCCATGTACAATTCTTTATCAGTTGGATTCGGTAGTTCAGTTGCCATAAGATCTCCACATGTACGATGAAACACTTAGACACTTCTCACATCTCTAGACAATTCTTGGTGCACGGGTCTTTTTGGTACAAGGCAGCGAGAGAAAAGTCTTCAAGCAGCCTTTATCTCAACTTACTCTTGTCACTTTACTCTGGTAAGTACGGTGACACATTTTAACTACAGATCTTCTTAATTCGGCCAGCGATTTTTATTAGATACTTGACATACGAGAGTACTAAAGAAGTTAGTTTTGTACTATCAATAGGTATCACGTCTTAGGTCAAATCAACTGCTTCTGAAATCTGTTACTAAAACATGGACTTCATGAAGCTATCAGATAATTGTCAAGGTTGTATTCATCGAGCGGAAAAGCTCTAACATTAGAGATGCCAGAAAAAACATATGATAGAAATAATTCATCCTGATGATTTGACGCCAAGGATTCCTGTTAATGGGACATACCTTCCAACTTGTGGAGAACCAAAGTGGTTGAAAGGGTAAGAAAAAAATGTTTTTTACGCAGCCTTAAGTACTTTGGTGTGGTGCACGGGTCTACTATCAACTTAGGGCTATCATCAAATCAAGAATGCTAAATTACTTATTGAGAGACAGCATGGCATCACACTCGTAGGAGCCGGTATCACTAGCATTATGGAGCTTTCCGAAAAGAGATGTCATCTCTATTTCTATTTGCTTCAAGCACTCGACTCCTCTAGGACCCGCACGTAGAATGTCGCTCTGTAAACTTTTGATCATCAGGAAAGCCTCTTCCAAATCTTTGTTGTAAAATTTTTGTTTGGCCAAAAGCGTTGACTTCCATTCTCTAAATTTTGCCTCTTGGTTTCGAATCATGTCTTCGAATCTATCACGAGACTCTTTTTTCATTTGTTCTTCTTCGAAGCTACCCTCAATGAGTTCCAGTGTTTGCGGGGCAGCGCTTCTTTTGTATAGCAAATATGCTTGCAATCCGCTGCATTCGCTGTCAATGTGGGACAAATGATGCTCGTCTCTTATTGCCTTTGTTAGCCTACCTTGCAAGCACCTGGTACGATACTGTGCATAATGACTTTCCATAGCAGTCATTAAATCAAGAATATGTTCCGACATCAAAACTTCCCTGAGATAAACGAAATCACAGTGTTCTGGATTCTCAATTTCTGCAGTTCCCCAGTGGTACTTTCTTACCCTAACGACAGTACCTTCTGTTTGCTGTCCCAAGGTATTTGATCCGATAACAGCGTAAGGGACAAAAGACTTGATTTTTTCCCAAACATAGTTGTCGCTGACGAATTGGCATACCTTGATGTTATATGCATTTAATGTATTGTTGACTATCTTCTTGAAGTTGGTCAACTCTTCTCTGTTCAATGTGTCACTGCGGGCAATCAATGGGATTAAGTTTACCCTTTGGGATAGCTCCTTCATTGCTTCGATATCTAAAGGAGTCAATTGAGTATTTGAGGGAGGAAGAAAGTAAAGGCATACATGGACTCTATTATCCACAAGTTGAGATCTGTCTGGTTGCTCCTCCTGTAATAAATAGGACATGAAATGATGGTCGATGTATTTGACTAAAGGAAGCCAACTATATTGGTTATCCATTTTTATTCCGAATCCAGGCAAGTCCACAGCTGTTAATTGGAAAACAAAGTTATCTTGAGTTAACTCGTATTTCCTCTCTCTCACCACAAATGGCGTGGGGATTTCAGACTTATCATCTAATTCGACTCCAAATAAAGTGTTTAAGAATGTTGTTTTTCCTGTTCCACTGCATCCAGCAAGTATCATACTGAATTTTCCCCCTTTTCTTCTAGAAATTTGCTCTCTCTGTGTGGACAAGCAATTCAAACCAAGAGAAGTTATCTCAGGTGCTGGCGCTTTTCCCATCATCTTGGAATGATCATTTACAATTTTCATTTTCAATTTCTGAGGACTCGAGGCAGCTTTTTGGGGGAAAGTGGCGGGATTGGTCATGGTAGTGTGCTCTGTTCAGATGATTGTCTTTCCGTTTTTGTGATCAGGTTGCAAAATCTAAATGCGATATATAGCCTTGATAAGCCCCAAAAAAAAAAAAAAATTCAAAAATCGCCATATTGAGAAAAACGTATTGAAAGCTAGCCAGGCTTTGAAAGATATTTCCAGTCATTTTCTTATAATATACTTTAGTCTATGTATGGCTTTTACTCTTAGTGTATTTTTTTTCAGGTCATTTCGTAATTTTTGATGTGTGTCGATTGGTGATTCCTTTCATCAATAATTGGCTTTTTTAAGCGCGCTCGGTAAAATTGGTCAAAAATGTAAATGCATGTTTTCATCAATACATGCAGTAGGTGAAGAGCTTGAAAGGAAGAGAAAGGAAAGGCTTTGTATAGAATAATATAACAAAGGGAAAAGCCACATCAACAGAAATGCCATATTTACGACAGAATGGAATGATATTGTCTTTTCATGCATTTGTTTTTGTTTTAGTAAGCCAGGTTCTATTTTTCACACAATTTCGTGCGAAGCCATGCGCACCTACTAATTCAATGACATTTCCTATTCGAGGTGAATGATAAACACACAATGCATAAGTCTATCTAAGTCGTGGCCGCCAGCGAATTCTAATTTACGAAGCATCATTTTCCCCGATACCTTCTCTCGCTTTTACTTCTCCAAATAGAAAGGAAGAATGACGACTCTCCGCAGGATGAAGTCGGCTGAAGAGGAAGCCAGAGAATGTCGTCTCTCTCCATCTCCCAGAGCCCGGTCTTCATCCCCAATAAAAAACAGAAGGCCATTGTCGCCATGTTTGGATTCATTCAGCTCAGATGTCACTTCAATCGCAAGCTCTCCCTTAACACATGAGCAGCTCGTCCAATTGTCTCGTTCTCCTATCGCCAGACGCTTGCATATCACTAAACCGGAGTATGCTATTCCTATCCCATTCACTTTGAAGTTGCCTCCAAGACTCAGTGGATCGGGATCGCAAACACCGCAAAAGGAATCATCTCCTTCTGCAAGTCCCAAGCATTCTCCCAAGAGATTATTCTTCTCTGGCCAAGACTATGAGGCTGCAAGTTCAGGGTCAGAGTCGGAGTCTGAAATTGCCAGAGATTATGAAAAACTTGCTGCTGTGGCGAAGCCTCCCAGTGTTACCGCGAGTCGAAAGAAAGTGGCTAAGTTTGTTGAAAAATCAAATACGGTGCCGGCTGACCAACTTAGTATGATTGAGGAATCTTCCACCAGGACCAACAGTGTCAAATCTAAAGAGTTGCCTCAGATACCAGAGTCAAAACTGATGCCCGTTGGTTTATCAAAACCACCCCATAATGTCATTTTGGGTGCTCGTGGCCCCTCTCTCACTAGGAAGTTGCTGAGAAAACCACCTCCGGACTTGGTATTTGATAAGCGTACACCTACGGAAACATCTGCTATGCCGGTAAAGGCTAGTGTACCTTATGGGAAAGCATCACTGGATCCTACTTCTGACTTGAACCCCAAGGAGGCGTTGAAACTCGATGCAGATCGTCTGAAACCAACGACCGGAAGTTTGGGGATAGTTCATTTGACCAACGCCATTCATAGGCAAGACAACAAGCAGCCACAAAGGCAGCAACCACACCCCGAGCAGCAACAAAGGCAGAATCAGCACCCGGAACAGCTACAACAACAACAGCAGCAACAGCACCGCTCAATCAGAACTTCTACGGGAATAGAACCTAACCATCTTCCGCAAACACAAGCGTATCGTCATAATTTGTATCTAGGCGATAAACTCAAAAATGAGAAAAACAAACGAGCTTTTTCGGATGAGTCCCAAGTATCCTCAGTAAGCTCTTTCAACTCATTTGGAGATTTTGCCGCTTTCAAGTTTGGAACGGTCCCACACTCACTAAATGAAACTTCACCTCAGGAGTTATCATCAGCGAGGGACAATTCACTGCGTCAAACTTCTGGATCCTCTACAGTTAGCTCGGTAAAATCTTGGAACTCTCTTCAGCGCAGTCTCGATCTTAGCTTGAAAAACACTTTGTCCAACATGTCCAGAAGCCTGCCAGAGAATAGCGATGGTACTTCCAAAAGCCTCCCTGAACTTCCATGGGATGACGTGGCTGATAGAACAATTGAAGTTGCTCCTCTCTGCATAAGCAAGTCTGTGAATGAGAAAGCTCAAACATTATCCGACGGAAAAGAATGGGAGCTGATAGAACTGGGAAAGGAAGAAAGTCTGGAAGATAGTATAGAGGATGAGGATAGTGAACTACAACAAAGCTCTGGAAGTGTTGAATACAACAACGGAGACGGAAAACGGTTTAGCTTTCCTAATAATCTCAGCAACATCACAAATAGTAAGGAAGCTAAACAAAGGACCCCAAAAATTAATTCAAGTGCATCATACACCCTCATATCTCCTACCGGCCAGATCAAAATTCCTGACTTGGAAAATGCATCACAGCATTATCTTATGAATGAATCCCGCAAGGATTCCGTTGAACCACCATTGGAACCAATTGGATACCCAAGCAAAGCAGCAAGGGAGTATTTCAACTCCATGTATGATAATCTTTCAACAGATTCAGATACTGATGGTTCATTCAATTCGCAATTCACGAAACTAAACTGCAGAAGTCAACAAAAGCTTCCAGAGAAAAAAGCGTTGATAACTAAGCCAGCCCCTCCCAGTGTGACATCTGTGTCTCCAGTCATACATACTCGTCATCGTTCAGTGCATAGTATAGATTTGGCATCTTTTGAAAAAGAGGAAATAACACGTGGAAAACAAAGGCCAAAGTCTGTGGCCGATGTTGAGCTTTCCAGGCCTTCAAGCACGGATAAATGCGAGGAAATTTCAAGAAATAAAGATGTTAATGAGGAAGCAGATCTTCGAGTAGAAGATCCACTTGAAGATACTTCTCTCCGAATCGTGGTGGCAGAGCCACCAGCTAAGGTGAAATATGCTGTTGATTTCAAGAGTACTTTCGCTCCACCCATTAAGTCCCAGCGTTCCGCTACGGGTGGATTCGATGGTTACTACCTACCTGAAAGAATGACTTCAAGATCAGCAAAAGAAAATAGAAGATCGTATCCTCTTACGGACTCAGAGCTTGCATCAAGTTACCATTCAAGCAACACTGCGGGAGAGACACTTTCCACGGCACCAACTGAGACCGGAAGCATCACCATAGATTTAACTAAAGAGGGATACGACTTATGTATGATAAAGAGACAAGATTCGACCTTATCATACAAGTCTGTGATTGAAAAGACAAAGGATGGACAAAATGTTGAGGTTGTTTTAGTCGATGAAGATGAAGATGCATCAACAGAAAGGGATGATTTACTGAGCATTTATTCTAGGTATATGGGTCACTGGGAAGCCCGTGAACCGTACAGATCGTTTTCAACGCGTTCTTATGCCTCTGAATCAAGCGAAGCATCAAGTTGGGCCGGATCAGAGTCCAATTTCCAGATAAAAAGAATCCCGGCTATCCAAAATACGCGACCATATCCAACATCTGCCATGTTTTCGAAGAAAGAAGTCTCTACCTTTACAGGCGCTTCGCACGCAAGAGGTATTAACAAGTTGGACAAAACTATTCCCAATCTGGTAAGCCCATCGAAGAATAGCTCATTACCATCCAGAAGGGAGGTGAACTATTTTGACTACTCCTCAAATGCAAAATACGATTTTAATTCGTTCATTAACCAGCGAGACACTGCAAGTCTTCGCCGTTGATAAAATACATATTTTAATGCACAACGTTATAAAATAGGGCTGTTAAACTCTCTGATCGGTTCAAGGTTGAAAGACCGAAAACCGATAGATTCGTTACTATTATCGTTTAGGTTTGTGTTGAGATGCATACCAATAGAGCTTTTCTTTTGGTCAATGGTATTATTTTCCGCACAGTCATCCTCGGTGATCGATGTTGCAGAAGTCGTAGACTTGAATGAAGCACCTCTACTCAAATTCCACGTTTTCGACGATTCACAAGAGCTACTATTGCCTTTGTGATAAAACGTAACAGTTTTCAATGGTGTTTCAATCTTATTTTTTTGAAGACTATTATCCATCAATACTTTTTGTGGTTTTTTGTTGTAGGAATTTGATCGGAAAAATTCAGGCAACTGATTAGAGTCTTTCTCACAATCTTCAATGTCTCCATCCTCCGGGAGCAAGTTTACCTCATCTAGAAGATCTTCTTCGAATGCATAATTACTCTTATCTTCCTCTCTAATACCCTCGCTATTGTAGAACCATGAATACCTTTTCCCATTGCTTGATTTCTTGATGTTCGCTGAAATTTCCGGTTCAGTAACATGATCTTTTTGTGAATCGTGTACAGTAGACTTATCCTTAGGAGCACTGGGAAAATTTGCTGTTGCCATGGATGTCTCTAGAAGGGCAAGATTATTCATCATGTCAATAACTGAAGCTCTGGACGACTTTGAGGGCTCTGAAGTAGATTCTTTAAGTCCAGATGATTCCTTGAGCCCAGATGAGTCCTTGAGCCCAGATGATTCCTCAAGATGGCTCAAAGTGTCCATCATATTGATAATCAGCTTTCTGATTGAGCTATTACGTTCTCCAGCCAGTTCATTCTCATTAATGTTCTTGAGAATCTTCTGAAAGCTTTGCAATGACACCTCGTTCATCTCCGCAATTTTGTTTCCATCTTCCTTACTTTCAAGATTACTTAGCAAATCCATCATATTCGCAATGGACTGTCTGTTCGTAGCAGAGTTTCCTTCAGATTTTGATTCGCTCAGAAAAACTGACGCACTTTCTAGATCTTCCGTCTTTGTCGTTTGAGGCATGATACTTGAATTGCTTTTTAAAGAGTTTCTTGTGTTTTTCCTTGTGGATCTTAACCTGTTTTCAGTGCCGAATGTTACACCATTTATTAGGGGAGATGTCGCGGAGGTTTTATCCGATGATGCTGGAAGCGAAAGAAGGTTCTGAGACAAATTGTCTGCCAGAGGCAGCTTACCTGGATCCAAGTAAGTATCTAGAAGATCGGAATGGTAAGTGCTCTCTGTAGGACTGGCAGCATGAATAGATAAATCCAGCTCGATTGGATTAAGGTCAACGGAGTAATCAAGGTCTCTGCCAGCAGAATTAGGATCAGTGTTTGATAAGCCTAGGCCAACCTCAATTTGATCATCTTGTAGGAAGTCGTCGTATTTATCATTTCCGTCAAAATAGTCATACTCCTCTTGTTCGTCGTATTCAATGCCATTGTTTTCGAAATCGTAGTCGGACAAGGCACCCTCTTCGTATCCAAAATCATCAACATTGAAGACATTTTTTCTGTCCAAGTCGTGGCCCTTCGCCTTTGACTTTTTCGTTTTATAATACTTTACAGAAGTGTTTCTACCACCATGAATGTCTTTAACAAAAGAAAACTGAGAGGAGGCATCAGAGTTTTCTGATCCATTCTCATCCTTGAAGTCTGATTCACCTTTTGTAGAAAGGTCTGCCAAGAAGTCTTGGGACAAAACTGGTCTGGCGACAAAATTGTTTTCGGAGTTCGCAATGGAGATGTTAGAAGCTGTAGATGCGAGCTTCGACCCGTCAATACTTTCAGCAAGAATACACATACCCTTTTCTCGGGGCTTTTTTTGCAGCTCGAAAGAGCTGTCAGACAAATTGTTGATCGATATCCACTTTGGGGGACTAATGTCAGTAGTTGAATTTCGCTTTCCAGTAGTAGGAGCGCTTGATCTGGGAATTCCTGTGGATGAATAGCTTTCGCTTCTCACGTCAGAGAGATTCAGAAACGAGTTGGGGCTCCGAACAATCGTTTTGCGTCCCTGTGGTGGAACGAATTCTCCAAATACCACTGAGTTCAATGATTCGTTGGCGCTGGCAATATTGGTATTGGATTTGGAATGATGACCAAACATGCGTTTAATCGGCGTTAGGAGTTTCTTTGGCGAGCTCATTGATGAAGGCAGACTGTTGGGGATTCCATGGGGTGGAGTTAAATGTGTGGGGTGCTGCAACATCATAGGGGAAGACAATGGAGTACTCTTTGAGTTTGTCGGTTTGGTGAATGTATCTGTTGAAGAAGCAATATCGGAAGCGGAAGAGTCACTTCGCCGATGTGCTTTTATTAGGGATCTCATAGGAGACGACACTAGTGTAAATTAATTTCTGTATGATGATGGCTTGCGATCTACTCAGGTGTGCGACTTGTATATGAGCCGTTCGGTGATTACTATATTTGGTTGTCGCATTTAATAACCAGCAGACACAGATTGATCGAAGATGTTCGAGGGAGCAAAAATCCAAACTGTAAGCAATCAAGAAGTATACAATCGAGATATTCCTAGAAGTGTACATTTGTGTTGTATTGATTTCTCTCGCCCCTTATTTTACTGGCATTGTTGAAGGAGTCTTCATGAACCCACGCGTGCCTACTTTGCTCTATATTCATTCCCTGTCACATAAATAGTACAAACCCGCGAACTGCTTCAAGGAAGAATTGAAGAACGAAACTCAGGGGCCTAGACCTCTACAAATCTATTCAGTACCGTCCAAAGAATTTGCATACAAGCACGGTACCGGTTCGAATAAAAGATACTGTCGCAGTATGCCGCTAATTAATTGATTATAACGCTTAAGTATACTGTTAGTCTCTCATTTGTCGCGCAATTTCGACAATGAATCGTCATGGGGATGAGACAGGTGACCATTCTCTTCGATTAGACAAGTCAATTGACATAGCCTTATCGCGCTAACCGTGCACCAGGGCGCAAGCCCTAGAATAATGTACACACACGTGCATTCATGTAGCACTCACTTTGTAAAGGATATGCACCCGTACCTTCCCCTCTATACAAGGGTGCCGAAAAGGGAGCCTGAGAGCCTGCATATGCATCAGGCCCGCGAAAAAACTTTCAGAGGTAGAAGCTGAAAATTTTGTATTTTTTTACTTCTAGTTAACTGTTCGACGTCAATAGAAATAATTCACCATGTTGATTCCAAAGGAAGACAGAAAAAAGATCCACCAATACCTCTTCCAAGGTATGTAAAACCCAAATATCCCATTCAAACCATCTGGAAATATGCTTCAACACTGTGCTTCAAGGATATTGTCCCGGATATGAAATTGCTTTGAAAAGTGAAATACTAACTATCGCAGAGGGTGTTGTTGTTGCTAAGAAGGACTTCGACCAACCAAAGCATGAGGAGATTGACACCAGAAACTTGTACGTCATCAAGGCTTTGCAATCTTTGACTTCCAAGGGTTTCGTTAAGACTCAATTCTCTTGGCAATACTACTACTACACCTTGACTGACGAAGGTGTCGAGTACCTCAGATCCGAGTTGAACATCCCAGAGGGAATCTTGCCAATGACCAGATTGAAGGGTGCCCCAGCTTCCAGACCAAGACCAGTCTCTGCCAGAGGTCCTCAAAAGAGATTTGGTGGTGACTCTTACAGAAGAAGAGCCAGAGATTAAACTGTCTCCGCTTCATCACGATAGTTTAATTTGTCCATACGCTTTGTATACGCTACCATTCTTTAATCAAAGAACCAAGTTTGTCTTTGTGAGCACTGGTCAGGTGATGAGTAGCGAGCTCTGTTGTAGTAGTTTCAGGGTAGAACTGTTGGAAGTATTCTTAGAATATTTAGCACAGCCATGGTATCACAGTATTATTTGCCTTTTCCGTTGTCTACTCATTTGCTCTAGCGACTGCCATTATGTTGAAGTTGTGTATTGTGGCAGCGCGGCACCTGCACTGTTGGCTCTATTCTGCCCACCTTTGTTCGACCATCAGGGCTGTGCGCACCTATACTTAAAACTTCCAGCAACAGGGTCCATAGCCACGTTAGTCATGCATTTATGGCTCAGAGTCACACGTAGTTGAAAACAAAGACATCCAATGGCTCTCCGACGTAGCACATCTGAACGCTTAGAAAGTAGTGCGGTTTCTGCCCAGCCAACATGTAAGTGCCCGGTTTCTCGATTGTGTCATATTTGCTAAATTCATTCGGCGTCTCTTTGCACTAGCCTCTATTCGTTTTTCCGCGCGCGCCCCATTTTGCATCCACGCCTCGGCCTAGCCACAAGCCCATACCCGAGTGACGGTACTGCACCGGACCCGAGGATATCTGTCTCAGCCTAACTTCCCTCCATATATCTACATCATGCCCGCCATGAGACCCGACGACTTACCTCTGTATCCGACGCCGCAACAGAGCGTATATAACATTGATAACCAACACCGCCGTGCACCACCCCAGCAACTGCAGCCTTCGCAGCCCTACCATCCCCCTCGCCCATATCAACAAAGCCAGCCACTGCTGCCCCACCAAAAATACCTGAACATGTCCTACGCGACGCCGCCACGTTTCCAGCCCCTGTCCCTGGGCCAGCTGCATCAGCAGCTTCCACAGCATCAACATTCCCAGCCACCCCACGCTCCACATCAGCCTCATCAGCCGCCACAGGCACAACCTCAGACTTACCAACAACCTCAGCCGTCACATACCTCCTCCGCTTCTCAACAACAATATGCACCTTATGGCCACGACCAGAGTCATAGAGAACCGCAAGCGGCGCCGGCTCCGACTCTGTACCAACCCCAGTACCAAAACCTGTATCAGACTGGCCAACCTCTGCAAGCTCCGAACCTGTCTGGCCGCTACCAGCAGAGACAATACCAAGCCACACTGTACGGCCAAGAATATGCCCCACAATATACCACTAGTGCGCCATCGTCCAGCAGCCATCATTATGTGCCCGCTTCGCCTCCTCCAACGCATGCATCAGCAGCCCACCAAGTACCACAGCCAACAGCTCATCAAGTACCGCACCCAGCAGCCCATCAGATACCTCAACCAACAGGACTGTCGATACCTCTGTCTATGGTCCAGTCTATGGAGCAGCACCTGATCTCTAGCCACCAGGGACAGCCCATGGCCTCTTCTGGTCATGGACAGCCTCAATCTGCATCTGGACATATGCCGGTTTCCCAACCTGCTTCATCTCTGGGTCGTCTGGGCAAAAGAGTACCTTCGGAGAAGCCTCTTAGTAGCAAAAAGAAACTTGAGATGGAGTTGCGTGTGGTGTTCGATAAAGTGGATTTAAATCGGTCTGGGAAAATATCCGTGCATGAGCTCTCGCAAGCCTTGTCCAACTTCGACAACACGAAATTCCAGGATCTGACTGTGCGTTTGATGATCAATCTATTCACCACTAACCATTCGTCGTCGTTAAATTTCGAACAATTTATAAGCCTTTGGAAACACCTCACAGCGTACAAGAAATTGTTTGTTGCTGCTGATCAAAATAAATCTGGTGATATTTCTTTTGGTGAGTTGCAACAGATTATTGAACAGATCGGGTATAAGCTCAACGTCGACCTAGTTCTTCATCTTTTCCAAAAGTTTGCAAATAAGGAGCAGTCTCCATACGACACCCAAATTGTTGGCAAGCTCAAGTTTGACGCATTTATCGAGTTGTTGGTTTATCTTCGCCGCCTTACTGACATCTTCAAGAAGTATGATAATGACCAGTCTGGTGTAGCCACCATCGAGTATCTGGATTTTTTGTTCGAAATCAGCAGTTTGTCCATGTGACGAGTGCTGTCTCCTAGAATTACAAACTACAATTCTAAGTCCCGTATGATGATTTGAGCCGGAATGGAGGGGATTAGGAGATCCGAAAATAATGACATCTGATGGCTCCTTTTATTTCGAATATTGCCTAGGACCTATCTTCAGGTACATAGATTTTATATATCTGAGAAATTTTAAGTGTACATTATATTTTTTAATATTCGTGGAGTAGTTCAATGCACATCAATATCATTCCCAGGCTTAAATTCACCTCGAATTGCATACGATGGTTCATTTCTTCTGATGAAAGCGTGCGGAACCTTTGGGCTCAATTAACCAAAAATTGCAAATCTCGTCAGCGTTGCTTCTTTTCCATACTACCACGGGCAATTAAATATGGAAAAGCTTTGAACTTTTAAAACTTTAATTTGGTTGTTCGAGCTTTCTAAGACTACATAAGGAATGAGGTCAACAGTGACTGCCGACTCGTAAATTGTTTCGATTTATTACTAAAGTTGAGAATTATGGCATGCAATTTTATGTTGTTTTTGTTTTTTGCCCGATTCGCTTCTATGTTGTTGTGGGTTATGGACTCCTTTATCAGATAAAAGAAAATGTAGTCTTATATTGGACCACTGTATTGAAGTCTGCAACAATCTGGCGCGACTCCATTTTGGCGCGGACGCACCTTCACGACGTGAGTCACCTAGTCTTTGCAAAAACATTCACTTCTTCTATGCTTGCCCAACTCAAAGTAAGCAAGCCATGGCGGCTTCTGCTGCTACATGTGCGGCCTGTTTTCCACTCCAGACCGTTATCATCACCCACAAAATACCCTGAACTCCTGGAATCAGATTTTGACAGTGAAGGTCAACCTGACTACTTGAAGTTGATTTTAACCTCTAGAGTCTACGATGTGGTGGATAATGCGGGCTCTCCTCTCTCGCATGCGGTCAATTTATCCCACAGGTGCAACGCTAAGATTTTTTTGAAGAGAGAAGACTTGTTACCTGTTTTTTCGTTCAAGTTGCGTGGTGCCTACAACATGATTGCCAAGTTGCACTCCAAGACACCATTGAATGGTGTCATAGCCTGTTCTGCGGGAAATCATGCACAAGGTGTGGCGTTCTCTGCCGCTAAATTGAAGATTCCATCGACCATCGTTATGCCCACCGCAACCCCCTCGATTAAATACACAAATGTGTCAAGACTCGGATCGCACGTGGTGTTGTATGGAGAAGACTTTGACGCCGCTAAACAAGAATGTGCTCGCTTAAGTGCTTTGAATAACTTGACAGATATCCCACCATTTGACCATCCTTACGTGATTGCAGGCCAGGGCACTATTGCTTTGGAATTAACCAGGCAGTTGATTTTGGACCAATTGGATGCCGTTTTTGTTCCCGTCGGTGGAGGTGGATTGATTGCAGGTATAGCCACGTATATGAAAAAGGTTGCACCCCATGTGAAGATCATTGGTGTTGAAACATACGATGCAGATGCGTTGTACCGTTCATTGAACGACAGCAAGAGAGCTCGTCTCGACAGCGTTGGCGTTTTTGCAGATGGTACTGCAGTGAAGATTCTTGGTGACGAAACATGGCGTCTTTGCCATAAGTACGTAGATGAAGTCGTTCGTGTATCCACTGACGAAACATGTGCGGCTATCAAAGACATTTTTGAAGATACAAGATCCATTGTTGAACCCTCTGGTGCTCTTGGTGTTGCTGGTATGAAGAAATACATACAACAAACTGCTGACACAATTGATCACAAGAAGAAAACTTACATTCCCATTTTATCTGGCGCCAATATGAACTTTGACCGCTTGAGATTTGTCAGTGAAAGAGCAGTTCTTGGTGAAGGAAAGGAAGTTTCGTTTGTGGTGACAATTCCAGAAAGACCTGGCGAATTTGCCAAGCTTCAAAAGATTATTCATCCTCGTGCAATTACGGAATTCTCTTACAGATACACGGACAATAAACAGGCTAATATTTATGTCAGTTTCAATGTTCAAAACAAGAACAAGGAGGTGGGGTCCATTATTAGCCAAATGAGTAATGAGGATCATAAATATGAGGTTGTGGATATTTCGGACAATGAGTTGGCCAAGACCCATGGCCGGTACTTGGTTGGTGGAAAGACCGAAAGAAGCTCCAAAACGGATAACGAGAGGTTGTTCCAGTTCGAATTCCCTGAAAGACCTGGTGCCTTGACAAAATTTTTACAAGCTTTGAAGGACAATTGGGACATCACTTTATTTCATTACAGAAATCATGGTAATGATGTGGGTAAGGTTTTGTGTGGGTTTGTTCTCCCTCAAGAAACTTCAGATGAAGAGTTCCACACTTTCTTGAAACAGTTGGATTACAAATATATTGACGAATCTGATAACGTTGTCTATCAAAAATTCTTGAAATCATAAGTCGGGTCTCAACTTAAAGGTTTGAGCTTCCATTACATATCTCATAGCGGTGATTAGTTTCATTAAATTTTATTTACACACTCAAGCAACCCATATAAACTAAGGAGAAAGAACACCATTGAATAGACTGTTTATATGGTATGCTATTAATCTAATCAGACCGCCGCAAGAAAGCTTGGTATGCTTCATGGTTTATATGTACACGTCCAGATGCCTTCATCTGCTTTTTACCCTCTTTTTGTCTCTCTAGTAATTTCTTTCTTCTAGAAATATCTGCAGCATGTAGTCTTTGGGTCACATCCTTTCTTTTTGCCTTAATCGTTTCTCTTGCAACCACCTTATTATTGACCTTTGCTTGAATCGCAACTTCGAAAAGTTGAGATTTTAAATACTCTTTGAAACGTGCAACGTACTCTTTCCCTCTGCTTTGCACCTGAGACCTGTGCATCACTTGTGATAATGCATCTTGTGGAATACCGCTAACACAGAGTTCCATTTTCACAATGTCTGATTTTTTGTAACCTGAATCCTCGTAATCTAAAGATGCATATCCCTTCGTTGCACCTTTCAATTTGCCGAAAAAATCCTCCACAAGCTGAGCTAACGGAAGCTCGTACTTTAGTAACACTTGGCCTGTATTTAGGTACTCCATCTCATTCTGGATGCCACGATTATTCTCACAAAGAGACATGACAACACCAATATACTCGTCTGGAATTGTCATTATCGCTTTCACATACGGTTCCATTAAATGGTCGATATTAAGTGCTCTCTGGTCTGCTCCCGGAAATTCATCTGGGTTGGTAATCACTTTCTCTGTTCCATCTTTGTAAACAATTTTATAGGGCACGGTGGGAGCCGTCAAAATGATCTTCGCTCCATACTCTTTCTCCAAACGTTCTTTGAAGACAGATGCATGCAATGATCCTAAAAAGCCAAGTCTCCAACCCAATCCCAAAGCATTAGAGGTTTCCTTTTCTAATGTCACAGATCTGTCATTCAAAACCAAATTCTCCATGTGATCATTCATAACTTTGAATTCGCCTCCATCGGCAGGAAATGCCCCAACAAAGACCATAGGTTTAGGTTCTTCAAACCCAGGCAAAGGTTCCAAATTTTCGTGTTGGCCGTTTTGAAAGAATGTGTCCCCAATCAATGCCTCTCTTGGATTCTTCATTCCAGGGATAATGTAGCCAACCTGACCTGCCCGGAGTACATCCATTGGTGTTTTATCTGGATACATCACCCCTACTTCCTTCACTTCGTATTTCTTGCTTGTATGAGCGGAGAGAAGTTTCATACCTTTTTTCATTTTTCCATCAACAATGTGGACAAGCATTACTACGCCAACATAAGGATCATGCCAAGAATCAACTAGTAGCGCTTTTAAAGGCTTATTGATATCACCTTGTGGAGGAGGAATGTTATTGATGATGCTGGGAATGATATTTTCCACATTAAGGCCCGTTTTGGCACTCACGGGTATGCAATCTTCTCTATTAAGCTCGAACGTGGTTTCCACTTGATCCATAGCCCTGGGTATATCAGCGGCATCAAGATCAATTTTGTTGATTATTGGGATCAACTTGAGCCCCATGCTGTATGCCAAGTAAAAGTTTGCTACCGTCTGAGCCTGAACTCCTTGAGCTGCGTCAACCAACAAAAGCGCTCCACCGCATGAAGCATAAGACCTCGAAACTTCGGCCCTGAAATCCACATGCCCAGGTGTATCCACTAAGTGGAGTAAGTAATCTTCTTTGGTGTTCGTATCATGATAAAACATGGTACAAGTTTGCGCTTTAATTGTGATCCCACGTTCTCTTTCCACATCTAACTTGTCTAGAACTTGTTTGTTTGCAGCTCCTGGCTGGATAACCCCTGTGAGCTCCAAAAGACGGTCAGAAAGAGTGGACTTTCCATGGTCCACATGGGCCACAATACTGAAGTTCCTATAGTTTGAGATTGGAATTTTCTCAATTCTCTCTTGGATTCGCTGGATGTGCTTTTCTCGATCAAGGTTGATTTTCTTGTCTTGTACCGCAATAACTTTGGCCACTTGTAAAACAGGTGCTTTAGAGAATCCACGGTTCCATATTAGAGTAGAACATGAAGATTTCGGAAGCGTCCAGCTTCTTATGTGAAGCATCTCTATAAGATGTATTCTTGAGTTCTCGTGATGATTTTTTGTGCGCACAGTCCAGCATTTTGCACCCACAGCAAAACTCTACAATATTACATACTTCCTGTGTCCCTGATTTTTATTTTCTGATTGTCCTATATGTCCCTTCAACAACCATTCTCCTTGGCGAAATCATTGATGAAATCGACCAACAACTCTACACTGTGGACTGAAACAGCATTGTAGATGGAGGCTCTCATTCCACCCACGGATCTGTGGCCCTTCAATCCAGTCAATTTCCTTTCAGCAGCTCCTTTAATGAACTTTGCCTCTAGTTCTTCATTCTTCAAGGTGAAAACAACATTCATATTTGAACGGTCAGATGCCGATACTGGTAAGTTGAACAATTGAGGGTAGTTTTCTAAAGTTTTGTACAAAAGTCCTGCCTTCTTGTTGTTCTTCTCCTCGATCGTTGCAATTCCTCCATCTTCCAACAACTTTGCCGTTACTAACTTCAAGATGTGGCATGTGAAGATTGGAATAGTGTTGTAAGCCGAATTGTTAGCAACAACAGTAGGATAGTGGAATGCGATAGGAACCAAAGGAATTCCCCATGATCTCAATTCTTCATCTGTTGCTTGCTCAAGCAAAGACTTTTTAATGATGTAGATAGTCAATCCAGCCAAACCGACATTTTTTTGTGCTCCGGCCATAATCAAACCATATTTACTCACGTCAATTTTCTTCGACAAGATATTTGATGACATGTCTGCCACTAACTCAACACCTTCTGGCAAATAATTTTCTCCTGGCACGCTTTTGAATTCGTTACCGTGAACTGTTTCATTGTCACACACGTACAAGTACGCAGTATTCTCTTTGTCGATTGGTTTCCACTCAGAGAACGGAGGAATGGAGGTGAACTTGGAGTCCTTCGTGTTCACGACAATATCAACATCAAAACCCAATCTCTTGGCTTCTTCGGAAGATTTTTTTGACCAAGCACCAGTGACGGCATAAGCTGCCTTAGGTTTTCTACCATTGGTCTTCTTAACAGAATGAGCCATTAAGTTATAGACAATGGATGAGAACCCTGTAGTACCTCCACCTTGCATAAAGAAAACTTCATGTGTGTCAGGAATATCCAATAACTTTTTTATATTGTCTTTGGTATCGTCAATGACTTTGATTGCAGGCTTTGAACGGTGTGAAATTTCGCCAATGCCCAAATTCTCGCCGTCATAGTTTAATAAATCAAGCGCAGCCTGTTTTAAGACGTCTGTAGGTAACAAAGCTGGGCCTGCACCAAAGTAGTTGGGTTCTTCACGATCTAAGGAGTTCATTTCGTCTCTTTTTTTTTTATTATTCAGGAGAAAACTAGATGGTGAAGTGGTAGAGCGTACTTAAACGAAAACGATCGCGCGCGCCAAGTCTTGACTCATTCACCTAATAATTGTTTGATTAAGTAAAGAGTGTGTCACCCAGAAGAGGAGGAAAAACGAGATCAATGCTTACAACACTTCATGTATATGACTGGTATCAGGTTGACACAGCTTCTATGTAGATATCCTTTGGCTTTCATTGCTGTTCATAATTATCAGTCTTCTAAGAAATCGCGAATTCTGACTCCACTCATGTAATAAATCACCTCCACATCATCGGTGTCATCTAGTAAGCAATGTATCGCGCAGGCTTCCTTGTGGCAAATTAAAAAGATGATAGTTTTACAGGTGCTGACTATCTTTGCTGCCAGCTGCCAGTCTTTGAGCTTGAGAGTGATTTCTTTGTCTTCTTCGACGTCATTTTCGTCAACATCATTCTCATCCCTTTGTAGTAGAGACGCCCTCAAACTATCATTGTCCAACTCGCCACGTGGTTTTTGTACGTTAAGCTTGTCATTCCAAGATATGGTTACTCTAAACTTCCCTTCTTCTTGGAGGATAAACCCTAAGAATCCACCATTTCTTCGACTGGCCCTTATTGTGAGCAAGTCGCCCGCTATTGCCCTCTTGAACTTCTCTAGGCGTCTGTAAGTTGCTGAAAAGTCATTCGTGAGTCTCATCATAAGATCCACACGCGGTAATTCGGGTTCTTTGGGTAAATCACTAGATCCTTTTAGGATCTTGACAGGAATTCTAAATGTGTGATTGATAGTATTGGCATTGACAGATATATCGGAGTAGTACAATGCCAAGGATGCTGTTCTGCTTCCAGTACCTCCCGATGTTGTACTGCCCGAATCCTTCTTCTGGAGACGAATGCTAAGATCGTGACTGTTTGCTTTATCAAAATTTCGAAGTGTTTGCAAAAAGAGCTCTATGTTGATTTCAAGTGATATAACATTATCTCTCAAACTTTGTATTTCAATCTCACTAAAGATCGCCAGCATGCGGAACTTGCACCATACCTGTGGCTCTTGAGTAATTGACGTGCCGTTTATCAGGATGGCGAGGAGTTGCTCTGGACTGAACTGGAGAATCACAAACTTTCGTAGATTGCTAATTTGGGAAAAGCATGTTTTCAACGTTTCCGTGCTCTGCGTCCGAAGTTTTAGCTTCATCAAAACGATATGTAGATGTTGCAAGTCGCACTATTCATATTTATCGAACAAAGACTCAAACAAGCTTACATTTTGAGAAGGTCGAATTCTACTGAGATTATCGTCTCGAATTCACTATTTCTACACTTCGACGTTAGAACACAAATGTTCATTTATCATATCACTTTTTTCTGTACTATACACTGTTTTATGGATGAGGATGTTACGATAGTAAAAACTTCCTCGTCTATTATCCCACTTATGGGACCGTAAAAGATGAGCGAATCAGGGAAGGTAATTAGTGGTGCAGAAGCTTTCACCTGTGGTATTTTGGAGTATGCGGTCTGGCGGTATGATTCTGCTAGGACGTCACGAAGCACGCAATACTTAGTTAGACCTTCAAGACGATAATAACAGAATCACCCCTTAGAAATAGCTTTGAAATGAAGCGTTCCTTCGATGCAGTTTTTATGACGGCTCCCTTGCTATTTCTCGTCGTTTCAGTCCAGAGTTCTTTCACGTCTTCTAGAATCAAATTGCAATGCCTGTCAAAAGCTTTCACCTTCCCTATCACTTTATGGTTGTTTCTGCAGTGAACTACAACAGGAGTATTATTGTTCATAGAACTCTGAATTACTGACATAGGTCCATGTGTGAATTCAAATTCTTCAAGCTGCTGAAGTTCAGCTTCAGTAAGCTCTGAGCGCGGACGATCTATAAGATCACTGTTCATGTTAGTAGACGAGCTCATATACCATTCATCGAGACAAAAAAATGAAAACATACGACATAATATTGGCTTTATACTAGTTTTGAAAGAACGGATGTTACTGTTGATAGCTATACTTCATCTCTGAGAAACTGGGTCCTGCACGAAAAACAAGACCACAGATTTAGTGATTCTCTATACACTTTCATTAATTCATTAAACGGCCTTTTGTTGGTAGCTAAGAGGGGCGGTCAACTTGCATCCTCTTTTTATGATATTTTCAACCCTGTCTTTCAACACCTTGGAACCACATTCTATCTTCAAAGTGTGAAAATCGATTTTCGCTTGGGCCTTCCCAATGGTGATCGTCGCAGACTTATCGCTCATTTCAGTAATAGAATCCCCAAATTGAGCCTTCAACAACGTAGATATGCGATGAAGTCTGCTCTTTATGTCAACAATGGCATGTGCCTTGTGCTCTTCCTCTTCCTGAACATTGCCTTCATCAGGCTCCTCCTTGATGTGACTATGCGAATGGCCCTTAGATGTGAGTTTCACCGAAGATGGGGAGGAATCGACAGAATATAGAATAGCCACAACACTGTCTGCAAGAGAGTCTGCCATTGCATTATTGTTTATCCATTCCACTGAAATATTCATCCCTTCCGCCGAGTCTGTCTTTGAAACAGAAACATAAATCATTTCCATAATAAGGCACTCCCAGCGTTCTGAGTCGTCATGTAAAATGCTGATGTGTCCAAACATTTGCTCCAAGTGCCAACGGATCAATGAAACATTTGCTTGGATTTTAACCTTTATGTTGGATTTCACTACCGAAGTGTTCAATTGTGTGAATTCTTTAAGGTCTTCAAGCTGTAATAAGTTCAAGTCGAAGTCCTTTGAGATCAAGACACCTGATATAGCAACTCCAGTATTGATGTAGTGCTCCTCTGGTGAAGCCGCTTCCTTTTTGCTTTCAGTTTCTTTAGTCTTTTCTTCCTCATCTGTCTTCTTTTCTTGTACCTCACCATCAATCATATCTTCTTCTTTTATCAATTGAATTTTCTTTTCTTCCAACTGTTTGGACAACGCATCTTTCAAGAGCATAATCTCTGCTTCAGCCAAGCTCCCGACAACTTTCGCAATTTTTGCACCTTTGATGCCGATGAGAAGTTCTTCGCAGTTTCTAGGATTGAATACCTTAACTTCTTCCTCAGTCCCCTTTCTGGAGGAGTATCTACTTAACAATGCAGACTTTAGTCTTCCCATGGGATTGCTGTCTCCGTGAACAAGAATGATTTTCTTCGGTCCAACTTCCTCGATGAATCCCGCATTTTGTTGAAAGTCAACGTGTGCAGCAAAAGAAATTTCGTCTATGGAAAGACGACGTGGGATACTTACCTCAGGGTTGGTAATGGAAGGAATAGTATGAGGTTCAGCTAGCAACTCTTTAGCCATGGTCCCTTCGACAGAATAGCCTGTTAAGATCACAGCATTTTTGGGATCAGGAGCCCACCTTTCGAGCAACTGTCTAGAGACACCACTTTGTAACATACCAGGAGAGGCGACGACCACACATGGTCCCATATCCTGAATCTTATCAATACTCTTGATAGATTTGATATGCTTGAATTGGAAAGGGTTTGTTTTTTCGGAGGAAGATGCACTTAGTCTGATCTTTTCATTCATAATGCTGGTATATGTTTGGTAAACGGCCATGCATTTTCGAGCAAGATTAGAGGCGTAGTATATATTTACATTTTGAATGTCCTCGTTGAGTGACCAGTACTCCTCCAAAATCAACAAAAGCTCCTGGGCTCTTCCTAAGGCAAAGACGGGCATCAAAATTCTACCGCCTTTCAATATAGTTGAGTGAATGTTTTTCATCATCCGGGTTTCCTTCTCAAGTCTTGGCTCGTGTGTAGCAGTGCCGAAAGTAGATTCTGTAATTAAGATATCAGGTCTCGTAGGAGGAACTTCCGCAACTTTTAAATGACGGTCCTCCTCACGAGAATAGTCACCTGTAAAAAGCACTTTCAAGCCACCAATCTCGACAAAATACATACATGCGCCCAAGACATGACCAGCATGATAAGCTGTGAAACGGATACCTTCGATCTCCATTGTTGAGTGATAGTCAATAGTTTCAATCTTGTCAAAGGAACTCATCAAGTCTTCATCTGTATACAAATTGGCAGACGTCGTCCCACTGTTCTGGGAGCCATTCATGGAACGTCCTTCATCGCCACTGCCCAGGAGCGAAGTGACTCTAACAAAATCTGAAAGTAACCATCGATAAATAGCTTTTGTTGCATGCGTCATAAAAACACGCCCACGGAAACTAGTTTGTTGCATCACATACGGCAATGATGCAGCATGATCCAAATGGAAATGACTTATTAATAAAATGTCCACTTTTGATAGATCATAATCGTCAAAAAATGGTAAAGAGTTCATTCCACTAAGACCTGGATGGACACCAGAGTCCAACATAATCACCTTGTTCTTGTACTCTATAATATGGCACGATCTCCCAACCTCATTGCATCCTCCTAGTCCGAAAAATTTAAAATCGTCTGAGTCCCCTGACCCTTGGGTTCCGGCAGACATTGCGATGGTAGGTTACAGAAAGAATGAAATGATGAGATCCAAGGCGAGTTCTCGAGTAATGTTTGGCTCATGTACAGGAATATTCCAGCTACTGTGAGAGAGTGAAGATATGTGCAACTACATCTGTTTTGGGTTTCTCACGAAAATAAATATAAATGTTGTTGCAAACAATTCAATCAAAAGACGCTACAACTGAGTATGAATCTCAAATTATTACTATAAAATGATGCTCGATTGTGGGCGAGAATCTAGTACAAACCACCGTAGCAGGTTTCGTTTTGCTTCTTGCGCAATTCGTACACATTCAAAACAGACTCAGCAGCCTTCACACCAGAAAGAGCCATAGCACCGAAAGTTGGACCCATTCTGTTGGAACCATCAACCTCAGCCAATTCCATGCCAGCAATGACTAATCCTGGGGCAACTTCTCTTGTACCCTTGACAATGGCGTCTTCCGCCTTGTTCATATCAAGACCTCTCATTCCACCCAATTCGAAGGAGTCAGAGCCGCTCAGTGGTCTCAAGGATTGCATTCTCTTTGCAGAAAATGCACCGAATGGGCCATCGTGACCGGTGGTGGAAAGAATAACGTTGGCATTGATAGTGTTTGGGTCCATGCAAGATTGCGTGTCATGGTTCAAAGCGACCAAAGTCCAGTTGGTCACAACACCAGCAATTCTCAACTCTCCAGTAGTTTCATCGCGGCGGGTGATCAAGTCCTCCACAGCAGTGGCGTTGAACAACTTGACGTTAGGGAATTGCAAAACCTTGGACATCAAAGTAGACATGAACAAAGCAGCATGCTTCACAACGACATAGTCACCTTCGTCATCGTAGGCAATTTCAAGCTCATCCAAAAACAAATGTGCTGGCTTTCTCATGACCATGGCTGAGAACAATTGACCGCCCAACCATGATCCTCCACCAGGAGAGACGCTGGCCTCAATGATGGCAATCTTCAAATCAGGTCTGTTCTTAGCCAAGACGTAAGCAGCAGATAAGCCAGCGCTTCCAGCACCGACAATTACAACGTCAGATTTCGGTGTACTTGTCCATGTCAGCAAAGTATCTTGAGGTCATAGCTCTGGACACAGTAGACTCTCTGATTGGGGCAAATTTGAATTTCTCCCAGTCAGCAAAGCTAACATCGGTCTTGGGACGAGTCAGCATTAATGTTGACAACACATCCTTCTGTGGTTTTAATAGAGTCGAGAGGCTTTTGGACAATAGTTGGAGGGGCCATTGGTATTATTACTTGATGATGAAATATGAAAAGAAAGACAATTGAAAACGGGATTTCTCCCCCTTATATACTTTTGCAATGGGTTTGTGTCATGCATGGTCATATGTTGCTTTCCTCCCAACCCCTAAACGCTTTGAAAGACCCGTCTTCTATGGGACTAAGATCCCGCAAAGTCAGGACTTGTAAGTGCATTCTGTGGGTGCAAATATTGCATACAGGATTTCGAGCTGCTACCACTTGTAAAGGGCATTTTACATCAAACAATTCAAGTGTCTTGCGCCAAAATTTTCAGCCAAATACGAGGTTAGTACTAGATTCATTTATGTCTATAATTCTACTCCGAAACTTCTGTTTTTCTAATGAAAAACGTTCCGCGTACATCCTTTTGCTCAAATGTGGAGATATCAAAACCTCGCATACTTGGAACTTGTTAGCGCATTCATGCACCGCGGTTGAATCCCTTGAGTTTTGGGCCCACTACGGATAACGACTGAACTTCATTGGCCTTCATCTCGATTCGTAATTTATGGGCATCTGGATATCACCCAACGAAATTTCGGGTATTTTGTTTGTGTGAGCTAAATAACTGAATCAGTTTCTTTGCCCCAAAACACCTGATCTGACATTGTTCAAAATGTGTAACAGCGTTCTCTTTTTGCATCCTTTGCTGTTCCCTCGGTGAAAAGAAAAAAAAATAATTACTTACGTTGTTTATTCTGTATGTAATGTATGCAACCCCCTCTACTACCCGAGGTTCGGAAGTCCGTTGGGGAATAGGCCACAAATGAACAAAGGCCCAGGTCGAACTTATGCTCCATGCCTCATGCCTCATGCCTCATGCCTTCAAAACTCCAGTGAGCCCTGATTGACGATTGATGAATTTTTGTAACGACGGTCAATGAAAAGACTTACTCTGATTGGTCTTTCTTACTTTTCTCGTTGAAACTCTTGAAGTAGCGATCACGGAAACTGGTGACTTTGTCCCGGATCATTCCATTAGATGAAGTTCCTTTGTAATCATCACCTCTTTTCACATACACCACTAATCTTCTCGACCATTTGTTAAATTCCTGCTCCAAAGCATAAAGTAACTCCAACCTCTCATGCTGAGGAATGTGATGTTCCACAAACTCATCGTTTGCAGTGGGCATCCAGAACGCTAATCTGCCTCCAATCGGTAATTTTTCAGCAGCAAAATTAAGAAGATCTTCAAGCAAGTTGGCCAACTCATAAGGTTTCTTGGGCGCGATGAAGTCTTTGCGCAAAAACCCCAACTCCCCATCAACTACATTATTTTCTCTGCCCTTGGCTTTCTCTGGGTTTTTGGCACCGCAAACTTTGAGCCCTTCTCTGACACCGTATGGCGGATCACATACAATTGAATCAATCACAAAGTTTTTCCGAAGAGCATTATTAGTAAAGTCCATCACTAGTGTGTCAACAAATTGCGAAGAAGTTCCGTACTGTTTGAAGTTTTCCTTCAAGTTGCACTTTGGGCCCTTACCTCGAATCGATCTCACGTCAATATCTGAACCGAGCGGTAAACCCCCAAAGTATGCGCCTGCCACCAAGAAAGACCCCGTTCCAGTGAACGGATCATAGATTATTTTTCCTGGTGCAACCTGTCCAAGATTACAACTAATCAAAGACAATTCAGCCTCGAAGGATGTCGTTCCAATATATTTTCTGCGTTTCAAATCGTACTTTTCTACCACTCCCGATGATCTGGCGCTAAGTTGTACTTCCCTGCCGAACCAAAGGAAATTGGGTGCTTGTGCTTTTTCTTGTCCACAAACAAAGTACTCTTCCAAAACCGCGTACACTACCTCTGGATTCTTTAATCTAATCTTTCCTTCAAACCCCATGTATTTGAATGTCTCTATGACAGCGATTTTTTCTTCTGTAGTTTTGGTGCCCATGAAACTAACAAAATCGAACTTGAAGGTGTTGGTCTTGTAAAGCCCAAATTTGTCTGTGGATTTGCTTTTGATGTCTTGATGTAACTCTTCCAAGTCTTTTCCTTGTCCCCAAAGCTCATAGATTCCCTTGGCAAGGATAGATCGCTTTACAAGGTTTTTGGCATCTTCATCATTCTTTAAATCGACTATTAGAAATGGGCTTTTCTCGTTGTGGTGGCTGAGGTCAACAGTTACGTTAAACAAATCGGCTAATGACTCTAACTCAGGAACACGAAACGAAGGAAAGGCATGGGCGAAACTGATAATGTACTTGGGCATTCTTTCTTATCAGTGTGTTGTAGCACTCATCAGAAAGTCGCGATGACATGAAAAACTAGTGCGATCGAGTACTGATCGCTTAATCTTCATTTCGGCAGCGAATGTTGAAGAAGGAAACATTTACGATGTTATTCTTAAATTTATATGATGAGTAGTTGTCATCCTGTAAGCCGATTGTTTGCATTTACGTTTAACTGTATTTTTTTCTCTCAAGATACTTTTTCGTATGAATCGACAACGTTCAATATTTTTACAAACATCACATTACCAACCCAACATTCTACCGACTACACGTGAACAACACTTTGAACAAAAAAAACATCTAATGAAAAGAAAGCTTCAATATGAGCAAGTCCAGAAATGTTTTTACGTTACTCTATACGATAGTAGCCTATTAATAAGAATCAGCCGAACATATACGTACAGCATAATTGGCTGTTGTAAAAGGTCCCTTGGCCCAGTTGGTTAAGGCGTGGTGCTAATAACGCCAAGATCAGCAGTTCGATCCTGCTAGGGACCATTTAACTTCGGGCGTGTGGCGTAGTTGGTAGCGCGTTCCCTTAGCATGGGAAAGGTCTCCGGTTCGACTCCGGACTCGTCCAGTTAATTTTTTTGCGCGCAAAGAATCTTTTGTCCACTTACAGTTTGCACGTGAACGTGCAACACACGACTTCATTTGTCGAGCAGCGGAAACAAAATCTTGTAGTCTAAGTGTTTCGAATATCAGACGACATAGACTAGCATCGGTTCATAAGAATATAGCCTGTTTAGTTTATACAATTTGTTGTACTCAATACACTTTATTCTTCTTCGTTGAGCTGTATTACTTGATTAACAAATATGTCTTCATTCGATGACGATGAGGCTCTTTTCGAGGACATTTATGATGACGATGACTCCAAAACTACTGACACCAAGGCAACTGAAGTGAAGCCTGAAGAAGCGGATGGGAAAAGTGAAGCTCAGTCTTCAATAGCGCAGACAGAATCCCCATCTCTGTCGGCCCCTGTGACTGCAAAGGTCGAGGAAACTAAAGCAGCCGAATTGCCACCTCCCCCAGTTGCCCAGTCTAGTAATGCTACTGGTCAATCAAATTCTCCTGTCCCAAATGCGTCTTCTTTTGGTCAATCTGCGGCATTACCACCTCCAGAAACTCCACAATATCAAGAGAACCAACTGTTTCACCATCAATCTCAACAACAACAATACCAACAATTTCAACAAGGCCAACAAGGTCAACAACATCAACAACCTCAGTACCAACAGCAGTATCAGCAACAGGATAATAGTCTGAAGATGGCACCATCAAATTTGGGAAGAGACAGCGGAAAAATGTTTATCGGTGGTCTCAACTGGGACACCACTGAAGAAGGGTTGGTCTCGTACTTCTCCAAATACGGTGAGATTTTGGATTACACAATCATGAAAGATGCAAGTACAGGAAGATCTCGAGGTTTTGGATTTTTGACTTTCAAGGACCCAAGAGCAGTCGATGAAGTAATCAAGAAGGACCACATTTTGGACGGCAAGTTGATCGACCCAAAACGTGCTATTGCAAGAGAAGAGCAGGACAAAGTTGGTAAAATTTTTGTCGGTGGCATCGATCCATTGGTCAATGAAAGAGACTTTAACGACTTCTTCTCTCAATTTGGCCATATCATTGATGCGCAGCTTATGATTGATAAAGATACCGGTAGGTCAAGAGGTTTTGGCTTCATTACTTACGATTCGCCCGAAGCAGTAGATAGAGTTTGTGTCAACAAATATTTAACTTTAAAAGGCAAAGCCATGGAAGTTAAGCGTGCTGAACCAAGAGGTCAGCATCAGCAGAACCAGCAGCAGCAGCAACAACAGCAGCAGCAGCCTCAGTACAACCCTTACGCTAATCCTTACGGCCAATATCAAATGCAACTTGCTCAGAACATGCCAAACTTTCAAGGTGCTTCGCCTGAAATGATGCAAGAGTATTGGCAAAGAATGCAACAATGGTACATGTTTCAGCAACAAGCCAATGCCGGCCAGAACCCTGATGGTCAACAAACAGAGCAACCAGAGCAGCAACCTTTGAATCCTCAACAACAGCAGGAGCAACAACAGCAACAACAACAGCAGCAGCAACAACAACATCAGCAGCAGCAATCACATCAGCAGCAATCGCAGCAACAACCGAAACTGCGCCAGATTCCTGAAGGACCTAGACAGTACAATCGGCCCGAAGGTCCGCGCGACGATTATCAGCGCGATCGATACAATGATCGTCAGAATGGAGATAATGATAAGTCAAACGGCCGTCGTTTGAATTTGCCTAAGGGTCCCAGAAGGGCACCTTCTGCTCCATCCGGTGGCAATGGCGGAGGAGGAAAAAGTAGAGGAGGATACAGAAACCGTGGATATCATCCATACAGCAAAGGAGGCAGAAGGTGAGGATTGGACTGTTTCATCAACGTGTTTAAATGCTCTCGTCATATCTAAAAACAGCATCTACGTAAAACGCAAGTAGAGCAATGAAGCGAAGTAATAAAAATGTATTGTTTAGCAACCGTTTATCGAATGTATTTGTGCAAATCATCTATGTAAGTTTAGCGTTTTCTGCTTGGGCGAGCATTCTTTGCTTTCCTTTGCTCCTTCACTTGTCTGGCCTTTCTTATTTGTTCAGTGGACCTCAATTCCTGTCTTTGACCAGGTTTGTTGAATCCTCTCACATTAATGCCAGACTCAAGAGCCTTATTAACCTTCTGCTTCTGCTTGTGATAATCATCTCTAAACTTATCAGGAGCTTTAGGCGCGTCCCTTTTTTTGTGTTTGAACCTCTTGTTGTTATCTTTACCAGAGTCGGCAGTCTCAGACATTCCACTTGAAGCGGACAGTATATTCCGCTTCTTCCTCCATTCATCAAACTTCTCGGATCTGAATGAGGCGGGTATACGCTGTCCACTTTCTCCAATAATATACTTTTTGCCTTCAACAGACTTCATGTTGATGTACTTTCCTTTCTTCTTGTCCCATTTCATGACTTGACTGTTCTTCTGACTCTTATCGTCATTGTCTAAGTCGAACGTAGCCTTCGCAGCGTCATTAACGAAAGAAGAATGCAAAGCCAATTGCTGATCTTGAATAGCTTCAGCCGGAGCATGATGACTTAAGTAAAATTGGGGATCTTTATAACTCTTTCTCTTCTCTTTGCGTTTAGCATGCAACTCGTCAGCATCTTCAAAAGCTTCTTGAAGTTCCTCCTCGTCCGCTTCCACTGCTGTGACAGAATAACCCACTTCACCAGCATCACCTTTCAAAATCTCATCTTGAACGGTGTGACTCAAACCTGCAATTCTTTCCTTTTCAAGGAGCTCCCTTCTTTCCTTCGCCTTCCTCTGAAGAGGAGCAATTTGGCGTCTTCTTCTTTGCATCAAAGTTACAAGAGAATCTTCTTCCTTCTCTCTGCCCTTTTTTGAGTATTCGAATACAGTCTCCTTGATATTCCTGTTAGCCAACAGAGCAAGGAACTTTTCTTTTTCTTTCTCCAAGTTAGGACCGAAAATCAAATGTTGCTCGTCCCACAAACCAGTCTGAACTAACTCCTTTGTTCTTTTGACTGACTCAGTAGAAGCAGCTTGTCTTGTACGATGATACAATTTTTCACCTTTAGCAGCAACGTCTTTAATTACTTTCAAGTCGTAATTGTGACGAAGAAGCGATTCGTACATCTCCTGGCTGTTCTCCAATTGGATACGTGGAAGGGAGCCAAGCACAAGTCTGTCAGTGTAAGATATCTTAGGCTCAACATAGTCGTCACCTTTAGAAGCCTTCATAAGCTCACATTTTTTCTCGTGCATCGAAGTAACCAAAATTTTCTTACCCAAGAACAACTCTAAATCAAGAAGATAAGGTAATTCTTGCTCATTCACAATGGAATATGCCCATCCCTTATTACCAGCTCTTGCAGTACGGCCAACCCTATGAATAAAGATCTTGGATGATGCAGGTAAGGTATAGTTGACAACATTGGCCAAAATTGGAATATCAATACCACGGGCAGCCACATCAGTAACAACCAACAAGGTTGTGAGTCCGATTCTGAACCTGTACAATTGCTCTTTTCTAGCTCTTTGATCCAAAGAACCATAGATATATGATACCAAATAGCCAGCATCACGCAATAAGCCAGTTACATACTCAACATGGTGCTTTGTTGGTACGAAAACAATAGTCGAGTGAGGAGAAGGCAAGACATTTGCAGGGGGCAATCTCTCCTTTTTGAACTTCTTCCTCTTTTTCTTGTCGCCTTCTGGCTTTTCGTCCTCGTCATCAGAAAGCTCATCTGCCTTCTTACTTTCCCTTTTGATTTTCGCTATCTCTTCTTGTGTAGCTAATGGCATCTTGATAACATCCAGTATGATACACAAAAGAGAAGCTTCTCTTTCGGCCTTCTTGGTAGAGAAAAAAGCCATCTGCAAGAGATCCGAAATTTTGGACTCAGCATCCAATCTCACTAACACAGGGTTTGATAATCCAGCTTTAGCAAAGTCAATAAGGGATCTTGGCAAGGTTGCAGAAAATAATAAAGACTGTCTTGAAGTTGGTAAAATTGCCAACAATTCATTCAATTGTTCTGCAAAACCCATCTCGAATAAGCGATCAGCTTCATCGAACACAATATACTCAACTGTACTTAAATCCAACTGCATTTCAACCTGCAAGTGCAAAAATCTACCTGGGGTAGCAACAATTATATCTGGGTTGGACATCATAGACGAAAATTGCTCCTCCAAAGAATCACCACCAATAAGAACAACAGATCTCAAGTCTGTACCCTTACTAAACTCCTTCACTTGCTTGAATGTTTGCAATGCCAACTCTCTCGAAGGTGATAAGATCACGGAACGGGCACCGACTTTTGCACTGTGAGACTTCAATTTTTCAATCACTGGCAATACGAAAGCGGCAGTTTTACCAGAACCAGTTCTTGCCATACCAACAACATCACGATTCTCCATGATCAATGGGATAGTTTTTCTTTGGATCGGTGTCGGTTGCCTGTATCCCTTTTTGGCAATGTTACTCAAGATGAACTTGGAAAGTCCGAAAGATGCAAATGTACCAGCCTTAGCCTTTTTAGCTGTTGGATTATTTACAGCAAAATAGCTAGCAATATCTTTGCTGTCCTTTTCTGCAGAGCCTTCATCATCAGAAAGCTCTAAGGAAGGAAAAGCTGTTTCTTTGCTTGGAACTGCTTTCTGTTTCTTTTTGGCTGGAGCTGCTTCCTCTTCATTGTCTGAAATTACATCCTGGGGCTCTTCGTCTTCGAAATCCGAGAAGCCAGAATCCGACTCCGAGCTAGAGTCAACGTCTTTTCCAACTAAGGATAAAGCTCCAGCAATATCGTATTCTTCGTCGTCCGACATTTTATTTATGGGCAAAGAATCTATATTAACTGGCGAAGGGCATCGCATAAATCTGCGTAGGTTTAGTTATGGTGTACGGATGCGATCACACTTCAAGATATCTATAAAGTTCATGTGTCGACGACAAAAGTCAAATATGAACATGTTTCTTTTGTGAAAATAACATGTTAAATTAGTTTTCATAAAATACGTATGTACGTATGCTTTATTAATCTCAATCGTCGTCCGTAGCGTAGAGTACCAAAATATAGTGGCCGTCCTGAACACTTTCTACTGTCATACCATTTTGAATCCGTTAATCTTCGCTTTGATACCCTTGTATTATCATGTTTGTAAATATAAGACGCAGATGATCTAACTTTATGCTAAGATGTTTTCAAATTCATCCATATTCTCCAATTCGTCCTGCTGGCTAACTTTCCTCACTACTTCCTTCTTCGAAGACTCCATCATATAACCATCCAAAAGTAGCTCATCCAATATATTGTAAGCTTTCGAAAAGCCAAAGATAATATCCAACTCACAAACATTGCCGTACAATTTGTCCATTTGTTCGACATAACGGTGAATTATTTCAAGGGTTGCTAAACCATTATCCAGCGAGTCAATACCCATCACAAAGAACAATGATGCATATCGGCGGTACACGATTTTCATATCTTTATACTCCAAGATATTGCACATTTTCGCTCTCCGAGCCAAGATGATTGTGGTGAGTTCGTTGGTGATTTTTCCTTTCTCTTTTTGACTGCTGGCTTGATACCACCTGGATAAACGGACTTTCCCTTGCCGTGACAATAAAAGAGTAAAACGAACAGCCATCTTTTCTGGTGCGTTTTGCCTTTGATTGGTACTTGTTGTATTTGTAGTTGTCGCTTGGGTGATAGTCTTATTATTGCATATAGACCGCGAACGGTCGCGGTGGCTTTTTACTGATTGAAGCATCCAAAAATATTACATTGATGTGGCTCTTTACTTACCCATATTTTTATGACTGGTAATTAATTAATCTAGACGGTCTTGCGTAGAAACCAAAAATGTAATGTGCTCATTAATCTCGTGGCAAAGTTGTTTTCTGTTGATGTCCTTGAAGTGGTCCAAGTTCAAATTCATGTCACACAAGAGTACCTTCATGTGGTTCCAAGTGTTCAATTCGAAATCGGTGCCAGTACTTGATCTCATACCCCAGCCATAAAGTCTATACCGGTTCCCCTCTTCGTCCACAGTATCGTGGCCGTTCTTAAGCTCCCACGGATCGAGTTTAGGCGTATTGGCATGGACAAATATTATCTTTGGCGGTTTAAGTTTCTTGATTGCCTCTTCAGCTTCCTTCTTTCCCATGGACTTTAGTAGTTTCTTTTTCTGGCGATTCCACTCCAAATCTTCCGCTGGATCATATTGACCCATTGCATTACCGTTAAACTCATTATTTCTGACATTACCTAATGCAGCCAAAAACTTTCCCACTTGATAGTACTTGCCCTTCGTAACGATAGTAGCAGCCAAAAATGTTTCCTTGTCACCTTCACCCTGAGCACCTTGCGAGAAGAGCGGATAGTAGAAACCTGGTCCATACAGGTTGTAGTAGAATGCTAAAAGAATGGCCTTCATGTGACTTTTCTTGGAAATCATCAATTGACCAGACTCGGAAGAAGGATTAGGAATAGCACCAACACGCTCGTGGTATGGACAATTTAACCAATCAAGTGGCTCCACGGCTTCTTGTTCAAGGTAGCCACCAAAGCGCTCGGAGTACTTATCAAGCAATTCTGTCTTGCTCACTTCAGAGCCGGCAATTTTATAATAGTCAGGAGAAGTTGAGCGCTGCCAGAAATCAGGCCAAACAACCAACCCAGTTTTTGTAAATGGCTCAGACTTGAAGAGATGCTCCGGAGAATACGCTGGAACGTTGTCGCTATCCATTAACAAGACGTTTTCAAAGCTGGATAATAAAATCGCCAACGATTTGTATTGGTATCCCTTGAATGTCAAAGATTTAGCCATTTCTTGGTTATTACCGAATAGCGCTGTAGGCAAATAAATACACTTGGCGTTCATAGCTGGGAAGATACGTGAACACAATTCGAGTTCGTACTCCTCAAGCGTAGGTACCAAGATTTCGACTGGTAATTGACAGCCCTGAGCTCTCAAGGCACGAACAGAGAGCAACGACAACCAATTGAATTTCCCGCCTCCAACATACACAATACCATCACCCTCATAAAGTCCCTTTGGTGCTTCATTCGGAAGCTTACCAAGAATGTACTTATGCGATTTCATCATAGCATCGAGCTGCGTCTTGTTCAATTGCAAAAACTGAGAGAGGTATTTTTCGGAGTACATTGGCTTTTCGTCGCTAGTTTCAAACCGTTCGGCATTACAGCGCCCATTCTTGTAATCCTCCAAAGGCGCACAATCGGGCTTGGCTTCCACAATGTCTTTCAAGACTTCAGCATAAAATTTGTGAGCCAGAACCAACTTCTGGGCGTTTTCACCTTTGTAGAACGAGTTGATGTGGTCCATTTTCGGTTGGATCAAGGCATCATGGCCCAAGGAACCGGTACCGGAAGGACCTGGAGACAACTTCTTAGGAGAACCAGATATGTCAGCAGGCTTGGGATCCTCGAAGATGAAGAATAAACTGCAAATGAAGCCTGGGACGTATTTGCAAGATGTGCTAGAAACAGACGTGTCCAATGCATCTTTGGAAGACCACAAAACAAAAAGGATGATTGCTGCTATGGTGACAGATATTAACAAGAATAGCTGCTTATGACGCCGGCGCTGCAAACGCAACCGTATCATGAAAGATTGAAGAAAACTCATGCTGCCCAGCGCTGGAGGTATGGAAACAAACAAAAAATAGCGAAAAGCAGGAGAGAAAAGTATCTCAACGAGAAAAACGCGCCTGTACATACGTCAAAGTACGAGACGCAAAGCTATACAAATGTACATGATCAAAGTCGCACTATGAGCCTTCCCCTTAAGCGTGGATTTTCTCATTTGCCACTGGGGGGAAGGCTGCCCAACTTTTGAGGGGTTTCATCTAATGAGGCATATCTATATAGTGATATAACATGAGCCTGATCGGAGTTTTGAAAAAACAGCAAGCTTTTTTTGCGGGGAACACTCATACTCCGAAGGTAGTATTTTCGCACTATGCACCTTGTGGTTTGAATCTCATCATCTCTCAAAACGCGCTTCATGTATACAAGATTAGATGATGCTTGGGACAATCGCCTTCATGTCTTAGCTAGACACAATCAAAAACAAGTAGGAACACAGGCCGCCATGGTTCACCAGGTGTATGGTAAGCCTGCTTTATACACTACTACAAAGAGGGGAATAGAGCAAAACACGTGCTTCCGCTTCTAACCATATGTATCTGCGCGAAAAAGCCATTGAACTAAGAAAAGCCGCATCTCTAGTAGCGTGGCCAAATGCCCGAATAAATATGGGAAAACGCGACATTGAGACCCTGAGAGCAAGAAACGGCTTATAGAGATAAAGAGGCTAGAACATATTTGAGAAACAGCAAGTGAACATGCCCTATTTTCATTAGCTGAGCCTGCCGCGCTTAGAACGAGGCGTTCGTTTTTATTTGTTTGTTTCTTTTATCCAAGATGCACTGAGGCGGTTCTTCGCGACCGACTAGTTTGCGGAACCCATTTCACTGCAGACACAGTATTCTCATGTCTCGTATCGTGCATGTTAATATGATAAAAGATCTCCGTATGCTTAAATTAAGTTTAAACTTTAGAAGAAGATGCTATTGCAGATACTTTGGTGTTTTTATACTGGACAGCAAGAACCACACATTCTCAACCATGCAACCCTCCAGTGGCAAATGGGCCAATTACATTCGAGGCGTACACCGCATAGTGCCATTGTCGTGTGGTGGTTCTATGCCTCGGAAAGAACCTGCAATATATGCGGCGTGCAGCTCAAGTGGCTAAACGTAAAGTCCATAGACTGGTCGCACGAGCATCTATTGCGTGCATATATGGGTCCCTGGGGACAATGCAAATATGGCAGATGGTAGTAGCCGAAATCCTGAAACCACCACACTTGCTGTCTATCTAAGAGATTAGCCACCGCAAGTGTATGCACTGGAGCGTCACCCCAGCGTTCGTAGAAGAAACCGCCGGATCTGTCCAAGCTAGTAAAATATGCCTCGTACTGCGGCGACGAGAAGAAGGAAAGATCGGCAATCTCAAAGTTCAGCCAGAAATGGCACAAGTTGTATGTACCGTTGACATCGTTGTTCCGCACAAGATCTAGCAAGGTGGGGTTGGGCACATTTTCCTGGAGCGCAAAGTGCCTTTGGGCCGTGTCCCAGAGCAGCGGAATAGTGTCGCTGTACTCGAACATGGACAAGACGAAGGCATAGGCCTTTTCATTCTCGCGCATGAAGGCGAACACGTCGTAGTCAATGTCGCAGTAGAACCGCACACCAGGCTCCAATCGCCAGTAATACCGGTACTGTCGAACTAATGGATGCTTATAAAAAAAACCCAGGTAGAATCGACACATGTGACGGTACGACTCGCTTTCGGCGTAGACGACGTTTTTGAGTTGCAATTGGTGCCGCATTTCTGCCGCTAGTGTCTGGTTCACCCATTCTGGGTACAGCCAGTGCTCTTTCGGCACCTGGCCAAAACTGATTTGGCCATAACGAATGAACAGTGAAACTAGCACAACAAATTGGTCCAGGAAAATCTCGTCATTTAAAAACACCCAGTCATGGTGCCGCTTGTTGTTGTAGCGATCTTGGACACTTTGAATCGTTTCTAAAAGCTCATACACTTCGCTGTTGCGGCAAAGCACCAAGAATGTGGCATTTTCGGCAGAGCAAAGCGGCAGAGGCTTATCTACGACCAACATGAAGTCACTAGCCGATTCTCGGGCGTGCCGGGCGGTGTTGTGAACTAACTCGGCCAACTCAGCTGCCACCTGCTCGTCCCCAGTGCCAAAATCCCACGCGAAAATGGTTGGGTTGGTGCTTTCACCATGGACGAAACAAGCGCATATATGCAAACATAGGGCAAGCACCCAAAGCATAAGTAGCGAGAAAAGCGTTGAGTCTGCGGTTGTAAGCCTTGTGTTCCATATGCAGTGTTCATAACGCTACAAAGCCGATCTGATGGGGCATGGGCTTGCAATGGGACTATAAGCAGGGCCACCGTATCGAAGATGATATGAACGTTAGCAGAAAAGAGAAAATGCCAGCGCTGGCATCACTACAGAAAGGCGCGCGCCCAAACTATATTCTCTAATGTGCAATGGTTTTCAAACTCAATTAGCCTTTGTCTTGCTATTATTATCTCCCCACATGGCCTAGCGAGCACGTTTTGGTATACTTGTAAGTGCAGTTGCCAAGGCAGAAAAACAAAATTTACCTCTTGTCCCAGGTCCAAATTTACGCCTAGGTCCCAATTGTTAGTTTAATCTTTTGTTTTATTATTATTATTTGTCATTTTTCTCCTCTTATTCTTTTTCTCTTCTGCATTGGGTTTGCATTAGATATTGATCGGGGTCGCACTCTATCGAGCGACGCTACCAAAAAATTTAAAACATCCACTGCTCTTCGTACACACCTAAAAAAACAACGAAAAGTATATAGTGGATACACACCATCCACACAAACAAACTGCCTTAACACAACAAGCAAAACAAAATAAGACTTGCCACCAAGCAAAGCATTAAGAAAATTTGTCATCTATTTGAACGGCACCAATCTAACCCATTCTAATAAACTGCACTGGCGCTAAAAGGATCAGACTCCTCCAATATCTCCCAGTACACCATTTGTCCTTATTTCTCCAAAGAAGCGCATGCGGCCCGCTCCCCTTCACCTCCCACAAGCATCATGGAGCATGTAAACACAAACACTCCGCCACTGGAAGACGACATCCCTATAGTCACGGGCCGAAAAGCTGCCTATTCACTTCGGCTCTTTCGCGGCGACGGACAGCCTGAAGAAGAGTGGCAGAAACCTCCTTCTACCGACTTGGATCAAGATTCGCCTACCCGCCAACTTGAACCCGTGTCATCAGCAACTTATTTTCCGCACACCCCCATTAAGGAGAGCGATGTCAAGCATGACTATGTTCTTGGCCCTGACAATCTCCAGCACTTAACAGCTGACGTAGAGTTTGACCATGGGACCCACGGTGATATTACAAAAATACACAAACATGTGCCTGATTCCAAAACTGGCTCCGCGGCTACACAAGAATCTGTTGTTTCTGTCACAGACCGCCCAAACTCTCTTCTGTATCCATTATCAGTCGAGCTACGACCTTTCCGGAACAAAGTTGGCGGTCATACGGCCATTTTTCGTTTCAGCAAAAAAGCTGTGTGCAAAGCTCTTATGAATCGTGAAAATCTTTGGTACGAGGCGATTGAGCGGCGCCATCTTGCGCTTCTCCGTTTTATGCCCAAGTACATTGGCGTGCTCAACGTGAGATACTCAAGTATTGTGGATGAGGGACTGGTTTCCCGACTGGATCAGGAACAAGAACTTGAACACGAACAGCATGAAAGGGCACTGTCGTCCAAAGAGGGGTTGCCGATGCAGAAAACACGACGCCCATCTTTTCCAGACTACAAGGGCGTACACGATCCCCCACCTAAAGTGTCATTGGATGACAACAGGCATATTATTCCGGACCTCTTGTGGAAGCGTTACTCAAATAGTGCGCCCAGTACATTTGAACAACTCTCTCTTCTGCCTCATACACACGACTCAGACCTCGACTATGGCTCCACGTCAGTGAACACTGATTTGCAAGCACAAGTAATACTGGAAGTCTTTACTCCAAGAGATTGGAGTTTTGACCGGGCAGATGCCATCTTTGAGATGGACGATGAAAATGGAACCAGACAAGAAACTAAAAAGGGCTCGGTTTTGCGTAAACATACACGCTTTGAACGTTTTATTCTCTTAGAAGACTTGACTGCAGACCTTCAAAAACCATGTGCTTTAGATTTGAAAATGGGTACGCGCCAATATGGTGTCGAAGCAAGTGATAAGAAACAACAGTCACAACGGAAAAAATGCAACGCAACTACCTCACGCGAGCTAGGTGTCCGTATGTGCGGCTTACAAGTTTGGGACCAGACCAAAAGCAAATACTTTATGCGTGACAAGTATTTTGGCCGGGAGTTGAAAAGCGGGAAACCATTCGCCAAGATTTTAGCCAAGTTCTTGTACGATGGACGCACAATATTGTCCGTGGTATGTAAGTTACAGCACATCGTGGAGCAGTTGGAGGAACTATTCATTAACTTCGAAGAACTAAAAGGTTACAGAATGTATGGCTCATCCATTTTACTTACGTACGATGGCGCCTCTTCGCCACTTACTGCGCTGGTGAGGGTACACATTATTGATTTTGCCCAAAGTGTGATTGCCGACGATGCTCATACCGCAAATTACAGAAAGCCGCCCCAACATCCGGAACTTCCCGACATGGGCTACCTTCGAGGACTCAAATCATTAATTCGTTACTTCAAAGCCATCTTCGAGATCCTCACGGGAACCAATTACGACCAAGTGGATGACAAAGATGCATTCTTGAAACAAAACCATGAGCGGCTAGACGTACCGTGCTACTGGATTGGCACATACCCCGACAAGGACACCGATATTGAAAATAATGACGGCTCGGATCCGTTCGAGCGTGTCTACAAATCTGATGACGATGACGAGACAGGGATTTCAGATTAGATTAGGTTCATAATAGACGCCCGTACTAATACATAAAGCAAAACGAATCAAAGTTGAAGTTATTCAGGTGAGGTATAAGATTGATTACGTTCACGTCGGTACATGGATTTGATTCTTTATTGAGGTAAATAGTATATGCATCCCAAAAAGAAATAATACACCACAATGATACTATTTAGTACACAAAAATCAAAGGATTATTATCTGGGACAAATATTCTTTAAGGGTCATGAAGGCATCAAAGAGCTTAATCAGCGTTTCTCTTAGCAACCTTCTTGGCGTGGGTAGCTTGGGTACCAAAGATCTTCTTATCTCTGTTCTTCTTTTGCTTTCTTTGTTGTCTAGAAGACTTCTCAACCTTCTCAGCCAAACCGTATCTGACCAATCTGTAGGCTGGCTCGAATCTCTTGGCGTCAGCAACGGATTGGTAGACCAAACCGAAACCGGTAGACTTTCCTCCACCGAATTGGGTTCTGAAACCGAAAACAGAGACAGCGTCCTTGTCGGCCTTGTACAACTCAGCCAATCTTTCTCTCAACTCATCCTTGGAGACGTTAGCTCTGTTTGGGTGCAAGACGTCAATGACGAATTGTCTTCTGGCCAACAATGGGTTGGTGATAACCTTTCTAGTTCTGATAGTAACGGAGTCACTCTGACAAAGTTAGTAATACGTTCACTGGCAGGAGCTAACACAAGCTGGAAATCCTGAACCAATGTGGTTAAAGCCAACATCATGAAGTTGGAAGATGCCAAAAAAGAAAGCGGACAGAACCTGTAAAACAAAGCAGGCATGGAAATTTTCTTAGACGAAATTTATAAACATATTGAAGGCGATATAGGCTCATAGCTCACATTGGAACAGTTGCTGTTTGGTGACACATACCATCTTGTTAATCTCGGTGAAAGTTATTAGGACAAAGAAATGAAAAATTTCTCAAAAGTTTTTTGGTTTTTTCGGTGGGAGGAGACACACCATCTGCAGGCAGAGGCACTGGTGCGGTGAAAAGAAAGCAGTCACTTGAGTCACGTGGGCTCACGATTAGGACCACCACGTTATCTATAAATGGAAAGACACGTTTGTCGACCAAGCACATTTGGGAAAATGACGCATTTCTATAGGCATCGTCACTAAGAATATCATTCCTGCTCTGATAATATTACCGTCGAGACATCTAAGCTGTTCCGCTTGATGGGACTGATGGCATGCGTACAGATGCGCACAGTACTCTGTATGGTCTAATTATTGAGCATTAAAGCTGGAACTACTTTAGGACAGTTATACATGGAAAATTGATTCCATGAGTAATAAAATAGGTGTGTTTGAGTATTTCCATTCAGCAAATACCCTGGAATGAAAGTTTGAAGAATCTGAATCGCCGATCTATTCCTAGTATCCATTTTTCTGGTTATAATAGATGTGGCCACGGAACGTATCTTTTGACCATGCATTGTTTTCAAATTATGGAATAATGTAGCCCAGGTATAGATGAACTTTCGGTTGAGGTATTAAGGAATTATATTGTCAACCCTCTCAATTTGTTCATGGGAATTTCGTGATCACTGCGCCATAAAGAATCCTACGAGCACTACATTAAGTGGATATGAATATTTTTGATTTCGATTTCATCGTAGACAGTAGTCTTTTTCATCCTTGACATCACATTTACTTGTGAACAGCCATTCTGACAGCCTTGGTTTGGGTGTAGTTGTCCAAAACCTCCTTACCCATCTCTCTGCCCATACCGGAAGCACCGAAACCACCGAATGGAACCATTGGGTGGAAGTCGTTGTAAGTGTTAACCCAGACGGTACCAGCCTTGATTCTTCTGGCAACATCAATACAGGTGTTAACGTTAGTAGATTGAATACCAGCAGCCAAACCGTATTGAGAGTTGTTGGCCAACTCGACAGCCTCGTCAATAGTCTTGAACTTGTGGACAGTAATGACAGGACCGAAAATTTCTTCCTTGACAATGGTCATGTCCTCAGTAACATCACCGAAGACAGTTGGCTCAACAAAGAAACCCTTGTCACCAGCTCTCTTACCACCGGTCAACAAAGTAGCACCTTCCTTCTTACCGGTCTCAATGAAGCCCAAAATCTTAGACAATTGGTTCCAAGAGTTTTGAGCACCTTGCAAAGTCTCTTCGTTGAATGGGTCACCAACCTTGACAGCCTTAGCAGCTTCGACAAACTTAGCAACGAATTCCTCGTAAATGCCCTCTTGAATGTACAAACGAGAACCAGCACAGCACACTTCACCCGAGTTGTAGAAGATACCAGTAATCACGTTCTTGATAGCAACATCAACGTCAGCATCATTGAAGATAATGTGTGGAGACTTACCACCCAATTCCAAAGTAACCTTCTTCAAAGTGTTTGCACACTTGGCCATAATGTGCTTACCAGTAGCAGTAGAACCAGTGAAAGCAACCTTCTTGATAACAGGGTGGTCAGTGATGGCGTTACCAGTGATCTTACCAAAACCGTTAACAACGTTCAACACTCCAGGTGGGAGAACATTGTTCTCTTGGATCAATTTACAAACAAACAAAGCAGACAATGGGGTAGTTTCAGAAGTTTTCAACACAATGGTGTTGTTGGTGGCGATAGCAGGTGCAACCTTCCAGGTGAACATCAACAATGGGAAGTTCCATGGGATGATTTGACCACAGACACCCAAAGGCTCTCTTCTGGTGTAGTTGAAGTGCGAGTCACCAGTCTCAACAATGCTGCCCATGATCTTGTCGGCCCAGCCAGCAGTAGATCTGAAGCAGCCAATAGAAAGAGCCACATCGCCTCTGGCATTTTGCAAAGACTTACCGTTGTCCATGGCTTCAATGTTAGCCAAGGTCTCGGCATTCTCCTCGAGCAAGTCAGCCAACTTGTTCAAAGCAGCGGCTCTGACAGATGGGTCGGCGTTAGACCAGCCACCTTCAAAAGCAGCTTTCGCAGCTTGGACGGCAGTGTCGACATCCTCCTCTCTGGCCTCGTACACGTGGGTGATTTCCTCCTCAGTGGATGGGGAGATCACCTCAAAGGTCTTCTTTTGCTGAGGCAACACAAACTTGTTGTTGATGAACAAACCGGTAGGTTGTTCGTATGTGTTACCATTAGGCAAAGTCACAGTGACCGACATTGGCAAGTTGGAGTACAATCTCACCATAGCTGGCGCCCATGCCTTGCGGACGGTGTTTCTGGCAAAAGTGGTTCTAATCATTGCAAGCTAAATGAGAAGAACTCAATGGTGAGAAAAAGAAGAAAAAAAAGAGTCTTTACAAACCCGAGGGCCGGGCATTGCCCATTTATAATCATCCACCCGCAGTGTGGGGATCAATGTAAGGCCGATGAATGGGTTCCCCTCATGGGCACTTTCGTAGCCACTCCGCGGGTGTGTGCAGGGCCCTACCATATTTTCCTCCATCGCCAAGCACAAAGACCGAGCACCGGCCGGAGATTACTAAGCCCGTTGAGGTGGACTTTGGGTAATTTGTTTGGGGTTTTGGCGCTTGGGCTTGCAATGTTTGCGGGCCCATTTATCAATTCCTTGCGGTCTTATCGCGGCACGCGAAGCTTCGATCTTCCGCCCTTCCCGCTTGTGCGTATTTCGGAGCAAGTGAAGAAACTAGTGACGTATTGGTGCGGGTTCCAGGCAAAAACACCCTCTGGCTGGTTTGCATACGCCCAACCGAGAAGAGGGGGCAGTCTGCAGGGAAAAATATCTATAATCGCCGAGGAAACCGTAAAGAGAGAGGCGGAAGCGGCGGATGGCGGCGCTAGTGGCCAAGGCAAAAAGAAATTTTCAAGCTACGGGAAGTTCATGTGAGAATGGGCACAACGTTTGGAGAAGATCGCGTGCAGATATCGACATTGGCGGACGGCGCGAAAATGATAAAGCGGGGCTGGAATGGGCTCGGAGTTATGCTAACGGCTTCTGTATATAACGACCCCATCGTTGCTCCGCTTCTTAGTGGATCGGCCTTAGCACCTGTCAGTCTCCTCTTCGGGCTACAAATGTGGATTGTCGCCGATGAGGGTACTTACTGGAGACGCGGTTTTTGGGTTCGAACGAGACCTCAGTACATACAAGAACCGAGCAAAGGGACAGAAGTATACAAGCAGGAGAAAATGCTAGAGCATTGAGCAAGAGGTCCTAATTAGTAGTTGGGTCGAATCGACGCAAAAGGTGCAATGCCAACAACTCGCCGTATCATTGTCTCGATGAGCTTTTTTGGTTCTCATCGCATATATTTTTTACGCTATTCTTTTTTTTTTTTTTTTTTGGCAGTGCGTAGATGAACCCAAAATCTTCTATTCCTACGAACTGAGAGAGCATGTTATAATGCTAAGATATGTAATGCTACCAATTCATGTGCATGGGATGGGTTTATCAAAAACATAAGCATGGCATTGGTACTATGCCTCATGTCTAGCTTTTCCATTGTTTAAATTCTTTAAATTGGCACTGCACTTTTCGATTCACATAAGAAGGACAGCATCAGTCAAATGTCGTTTATGTCCTCCAAAGTTTGAGTAGTATCCCTGGCATGCCCCACACACAGTTCTTGAATGGTTAAACGTGGTCTATAGAAGACTTTAACATGGTGTATAGAATGGTTTCATGAATCGTTTATCCATCTTAGCACACCAACTAATGCCGTGCATTGATAATGGCAGATGTCTTAGAATGGTGCGCGACTGCATTCTGGCCATACAGTACACCATCGCTGGATCATCTTTCCCGGTGCTACATCAGATCATTGCCACGGATTAACTTGCCCCTGACCCCATATTTCAGCTTCGTTTACCAACTTCAATTTTTCAATTTTTCTTCTCCGTGGATTTCCCTCTTCCTTTTCCTACCATCTCTCTCGCCTATCCATGTCGCAAACGTGGCTTCGCGGACCCATCTGCGGTGTCGACAACTGTCGGTCTCACTTGTACCGCCTGAGCGCAGGACGCAAGTTCTGTCAATTTGGCCATGTTGCAGAAGGAAGTGTTGAGTTTGACGATGATGAGGGTGTTTCCTCGCAAACAAGAAGGCTCGCAGTGCAGCTCACTGACACGGGTTTTGGCGCGCGGGTTTCCATGCCAGTGGCTGGTGCTACGCCCGCACAGACAGAAAAGAGGCTCTACGGTTCAGCGGGCCGCCTCCACTACTTGCGGTGCGTGCAACATCTCTTGCGGCGGCTCGCGTGCCAAACGGTGCCGGTGCTTCATCCCGAGCTATCGCGCGAGAAGCGCACGCACTACGAGTACATTTTGCTCAAGGCGGTGAAACTTGTATGGACCCACTGTGCGGCAGCCGCTCTCCGCTCAACGTTGCCTGCTGACGTCGACTTGTATGTGTACATATATTTGGCAGAGCGTCTTGTGGACAGACGCCCCGTATATGTGGACGATTTTCTTTTGGCGCTTCGACGCAACGCGCTCCCGTTTGTGGAGCTTTACAAGCTTCTCCCCAAGGAGATGGCGCAGCACATGTCCATGGCAGGCATCATGTTGTTGTCGCGGAGCCCAGTGCCGGTCGACGACCTCTTTTATCGCGGTGTGGCCCGGTGGACGCGCGCACTTCCGCGCGCACTTCCGCGCGAACTCCATAAAGTGCCCGCAGAACATTTCTATGGTGGTGCGCTTCGCGTATTTGCAGACTTGGCCCTCGGCGAGGCGCCGCTACTATTGGTCATGTTCCACCGACTCATAGCCCTCGTCCACGGCACGCACTTGCTTCTGACGCTGCATTCGTCGCGGGTGTGGCGGCTCCCAGAATGCCAATACGTGGGGTTTTTGCACGCGGCGGTGCGCCTCTTTTTCGTGGGCTCCGCGCGCCACGCCGATGTGCGCGAATGGGGCGCATGGCTCGACACTCAGCGGTCGAGCCTCGCTTGTTTCAATGACAAATACCACCACATGGACATTGAAGACTTGCTCGCTCTTCTGGACGAACAAACAGAGAAATACTGCCACTGGGTGGCAGCCACGCTAGGCGAAGAGGGCGAAGGGACCATGGAGCGCAAGTTACTTCGGCTTTTTTCGGCCGAAGGTTTGACCGTGCTGAACGGCAATAGTGCGCGCGAGCGAAGCGCAGAAACCAGTAGCCAGGCACAGGGAATGGAATCTAACAACAACGTCGCGCATCATCCCCGTTTCACTGTCAAAGACGGCCGAATGCTGGAGGCCGATGCACTACTTGCAGAGAAACACCTCGCAACATACCTTTGCTTTCGCTTTGGCTTGAAGACGCGCACGTTCGGGGAAATTGTGCGCTGGACGCAGAGGAAGATCGAGCGTGCATTTGAGAACCGGCTGCTACATACGGTTCCATAGGACCATTGGATTTTGGCGAAGCAAATGGTCTCGTGGTAAGTGGAACCGTTGCCAAAACCTTCGTGGGGAGGATCCGATTCGACACTTTACTGCAACGCATTGATGTATGTTAGAGAGAGCCATAGACATGTCTTATTGCATTGTTCACACATTTCAGACGACCCATAATAGCTCGGGTACTCTTGTTAATTTTGTAATCACTCTCTCGATCGAACACCTATGGTCTCTAATAAATAGGATATTTGCTCTGTCCGATGTTACATGAAAGCATAATTTTAACAGGTTGTTCACCAATGGCACTCTAAATATCTATTTCACTGCATATGTATCTATATCAGATTCGTAACTTTGTTTGTCTCAGTGAAACATGGTCGCTTTCAGTGCGATATTGTTTTTGAGCACAGGAACATCTCCACAACATGGATACTTCTGAATCCACAAATAAAGACGCCAAAGACCCGTCTCCAGCCGAATCATTGCAATCCGACCGCTTACCTGAAAATACCGAGCCAAGTGCTTCTCGTCCAAATACAGAGTCACCGTACACAAGTGCTTCTCCCTTTACAGAAACAAGTATAAGCAGAGGCCAGACACCAGACGCGTCCGATTTTTACGCCAGCGATGACTCCTACTCGGACCTGAGGCAGACCCCTGATGCTAGCGATGATGAAGCTAACAAAAGGCAGGGAAATCTATTAGCGGTGGAGAGGGCTACAAAACGAAGCCGCACGGACTCAGATGATTACGATCCACAGAACCCAGCAGGAGTAAGAAAAGAGAAAGTCCGGAAGAGAGTAGCCGGAAAAGTTATTGAGAAGCTCTGGTCTGTTCTAGATCGAGACTCTTTCAAGTCATTCGAGAACCTATGCGATATGTCTCTGAACAAAGTTCTTGAGCGGTATGGAACCAGTCCTGCCCAACGACCCAAAGTCATGGAGGCTCAGCGCATTCTTGCTAACCACTGGATTAGCGAAAGGAACCCACGTTCATTTTTGGCTCGGCTCAGCGTAACTAAACTACCGCCTCTCAAGTCGCTACATGTGAGAATGAAGGGATCGGAGACCGTTAATTATGATCCGCTCAGTATTGATAGCGTACTTCACAAAAAGGCAATGTGTGAAGCATATCTTCTGGCGGAACTTAAACAGCTAGAAAGCTTAGAGTCGAACTTCCGTGCTTTGCAATCTACATATGAGCTGGACTCCAAGTATCTTCATGACTTCAAGAAAACAACAAGTTCTTTACAGGCACAAAATGCAGCTGAAAAGCTGGAGAAAATGAAGCAGCTACATTTGGATGGGATTCCCTCTCTTACTAAAAATGTTCACTTGGAGGCACAACCCCAACTGGGAAGCTTGAGCGGGTTTCTGCCGAATAAGGATGAAGAAGTTCTGCTTCTACTACAGAATATTAACAAAATAATCGACGACAAAAGAGAACCCATGCGACAAATGTTGGAGTCCTGCGACCAACTTGACGTTATCCTGAGCAAACTCAACAGCTGAAGGAACTAGTGTAGCAGAACACTTCAAATCACTAAGATGCGGCACTATCACATACCCTAAAAGCTACAAATCATATTAGTCAACCATTCAAGTATAGTAGTGGAGCTTGTATAACTTAGTCTGCGTATATCCAGTAGACAGTGACTAAATATACATCTTTCGTCTGCACCTTGAAGCTGTAATAACCATCTCTCTCGTCATCCCAAAGAGATCCAATTGAGGAAGTAATGGTGACATTTGTGGTTATACTTTCAGAAGAAGAGACACTGGTAACCTCGACCAAGAATTTGAATTTCGAACTCTTCACGCTCAATTGGTTGGTAATGCTTCGGATGAACTCATGAGTATCAGTCAATTTGTCTTTTTCATTATCAATTAGGGTTGCAAACTCTGTCTCCAGTATTGGGGAGTCTTTAGTTGTAGACGAAGCCTGAAGTGTAGCGGACATCGGAAGAAAAAAGTGGGGTGCACTAGTCGAATACTGAAGACTGCATCTCCTGTTGTATTGATAAGGCGGGCCCTAAATTAGTAACAAGAGATGATTTATGCAAAATTCATGAGAAGAGCTATCAAATTACGATATACCTTCCATGCAGCTATTGGAATTGGTTTCCAAATTCTTGGTGCTAGGGCGCCCTTTGAAAAGCGAATTTCGGCATTTGAGAATACTCGAGCCGACGCATAGTTGTTCTAACACGATAAATTTCGCTTCGGCATAAAGTACATTCATTTTTAGTATGCTCTACTACACTCTTGCATTTTGAACATGTGAGTTTTTTTGAGAATATGGATGCATTTATACCCATACACGTTTATACATTTGTCTCTTCATTTATCCGTTGGTGTCTATTTGTATCAGTAAGTCGCATCTCAAATAGCCCGAGACCTGAGCCGAATTCTGTATAAAATATACATACGCGCCTTTTTCGATCTTCTCTCGATAGCATTTCAGATCCATGTCTTTTTTTCGAAGAAAGGCCAAAGAGCTGTCGCTTAATGCAAGTTCCGATAGCGTTGAATGTGCCTCTGTTTCGTCAAAATCTACCTCCACTTCCGGAATTAGCGCCAAGCCCGGACTTATAAAGAGGCATGTGCCATTTGAAGAGCCGTTAAACCCGATAAAACCACCTCTGTTTGACTTGACACCAGAGCAGGAGCAAAAGTACAAGCAAGTATTGGAGTATTTCCAAGATTATGCTACTCAGGAGATTCCGGTCAACGATAGTTCAGGCGCACCCAAGCATGCTATGACCGAAGAAGAAAAAGCCTGGTTAACAAAAGAGTGCTTTTTGCGGTATTTGCGGGCCTCCAAATGGAAGGTGGATAATTGCATTAAGAGAATTAAGGAGACTTTAATTTGGAGAAGAACATTTGGAATCGTCAACATTCCTGGTCATACAGATGAGACGAAATTGATCACACCACAGCTTGTGGAAATTGAGAACGAAACTGGCAAGAACCTCATTGTAGGTTACGATATCGATAACAGACCATGTCTATACCTCCGAAATGGATACCAGAATACCAGTGCTTCGATAAGACAGGTGCAACATTTGGTTTTCATGCTAGAGAGAGTCATACAATATATGCCACCCGGTCAAGATACATTGGCATTGTTGATTGATTTCAAGGCTGCACCTGCTCACTTGAATCTTTCATTCAAATTCCCATCCCTTGGAATCTGCAAGCAGGTGTTACACATTTTGCAAAACCATTACCCCGAACGCTTGGGTCGTGGTCTCTTTACCAATATTCCATGGATTGGATACACTTTTTTTAAGATGGTTGGTCCATTCATTGATCCTTACACGAAGCTGAAAACTATCTACGATCAACCATTTGAAAACTTCGTACCCAAGGAACACTTGGATAAAGAGTTCAACGGCATTTTGGATTTCGAGTACATCCATGACGTGTACTGGAAAGAGATGAATGCAATTGGCGATAAGAAACGCGCTGTGTTCATGACTAACTATGAGAAGCTCGGAGGAGGAATCGGCTTAAGCGAGTATGACTTGCGCCGTGAGCATGTTAGCACCTGAATGCTGTTTATTTCTTTTTTTATTATTTATATTCATGTATCCCGGTGGGTGAAAATATAGGAAGTACGAACGTGTGCACTTGATACAGGTGTGCATGTAGAACCAAAGAATTATCATCACGATGATTCATAGAATAACCTGAGTCACATTCTGAATAATGGCACTGTACTCCATCACTTTCATTGCTCATGGCGATTCTTTGACCGCTACTGAAAAAAAGGACATTGAGAATTTCATATCTTCCGATTTGCATTTGGACATCCAATCAAAGACAGAACTATCTCCCAATAGAGTATACGACTTTCACGTCGATACGAATGAACCAGACTCGGTAGCAGCTTTGGTCAAAAATGCAACACAACGGGGCTTACCATACGACATTATCTTTCAGGATGCCAAAACGAGACGTGACAAGAAATTGTTTGTGTTTGACATGGACTCAACGTTAATTTACCAAGAGGTTATCGAGTTGATTGCAGCGTATGCTGATATCGAAGATAAAGTGGCAGAAATCACCGAAAGAGCCATGAATGGTGAACTAGACTTCAATGAATCCTTGAAAGCGAGAGTTCTTCTATTGAAAGGAATCGATGCCACCACTCTATGGGATGAATTGAAGGTCAAAATTACCCTCACTAAGGGAGCTAAAGAACTCTGTAAAGCATTAAAATCTTTGGGAGTTATTATGGCTGTCTGTTCCGGTGGCTTTATCCCATTAGCATCACACGTGAAAGAAGTGCTCGGATTAGATTATGCGTATGCAAACACTTTAGGTTTGGATAACGAAAACAAACTAGACGGAACCACAAGAGGATATGTTGTCAACGGAGACAAGAAAGCTGAGCTCTTGCTTGAAATTGCCAAAACTCACAACATTGATGTCTCATCCGCGGTCGCAGTTGGGGATGGTGCCAATGATTTGAAAATGATGAGCGTGGCAGGTTGGGGTGTGGCTTGGAATGCGAAGCCAAAGGTCCAAAAAGAAGCCCCATGCTGCTTAAACACAACGTCCTTGAAAGACATTTTGTATATAATGGGTTTCAGTGATGACGAGATTGTGGCCCTTGTGCAATAGACTAACCAATATATGTAATGTTCATTCATTTCAATCCAGCCCATCTTGGCCTACAAATCCTCGAATAGTACCTCTCACTACTCCCAAAATCCCATTCAGCATCAAGACATCTTGCCCAATATGAAGACGATCAAGTTGTAACAGGTCTTCTTTTATCATATTTTTCTGGAGCAAAAAATGCCTGGTTACGCCACAGAGGCACCCAGAAGTGAGTTTGGGTGTGATCCATTCTCCTGATTCGGACTTTATAGCTATATTTGTGATTGATCCTTCCATAACCTCTCCACAGGAATTCACTAAGATTACTTCCTCCCTCTTAGAGCTTCCTGGTAGTGCTTTATTTCTCGCCCTTGTGTAGACATCTCGACTTGTAGTCTTAAAAGAAGTGAATGGTGACGGGAGAACAGGGGTAGTGTCGACATAGACATCATATCGCTGGTCTTGTGGATAATCGTCCAGCAAGCCATCAAGTAGATTCACCCTCGGGGCAGTCTCATACAACTCCACCCTGATTTTCCCCTCCATTGAGGTGAGTAATCTGATCCTGAGTGGTTCAGCCGTACTAAGTTGCGAATCATCTATGGCTTTGACGAGCAGCTGAAAGATGTAGTTTTCTTCAATCTCAAAGGGAAATACTTCCTCCTTTCCGGTCTTCGACGCAAAGTAATCGACGGTAAACTTCAACCTTTCCACGTGTTCTGTAAGCAAAAAGAAGTTTCTCTTGGTGATACTGGCGACAGAATGGGGTATTTCTTCAGTGAGGCTAGGATCATATCTAATGGTGGATAAAATCTCAAAGGAAGAAGTATCTATCTTGAAAGGATCTCCCCCAGGGAATTGAGTTACAAAAGACTCGTATGACATCGCACCGAGAGGCTCAGTCATTTTCGTACAGCGGTTTATGTTCTGAAGATAAGATGTGTAACTTTCGCGACGCTAACATTCTACATTGGAGCATTAAACTGCTTGGTGGATTCTTGTCTATTATACATAGTAATTAATAAGGTCTGAAGCGTTTTTTCTCCTTCATCATTCTGACCCTCTCCTGGTCCTGCTTGAACTTCTTCAACAAATCATTCATCTCTGCCTTTTTCTTCTCTCTCAACTGGAATCTGTAAAAGTCTTCCTTTTCCTTCTTCTTTATCTTGCTCTTAGCCTTCTCGGCACCCACTGTAGCCGCATATTTTTGCTTACCCATGATACCAGCCTTTGTCTTTCTGTGAGACCCCACAACCAAAGTGAACCCATCTTCATCGACGATCTCCGTCTGTCGTTTCAACTCCTCTCTAGATTCTTGTTCTGCCCTATTAAAGTCTGCAAGTGCTTTCGACACTTCTTCGGCAAGCTTAGTTGGTTCGCATACTTGCTGCTCATATTTACTGAGCAAAAATTTGCTTCCGAGAACGGGCATGGGCCAATTGGTACTCTTGGAATCATTGGAAAGTTTTTTCAAAGAGTTAAATGCAAGTTGGAAAGACGCCTTGTCTATGAAGGACAAAATCCCACAGTTCTTAGGTAACTTCAGCGTGATATCAAGAATGAAGCCATCTTGCTGATAGTCGAGATCTGATGTTAACCTGGTGAGGTCAATATAAACATCCTCCTGAGTATCGGTTGCCATGCTAGGATAATAGTTTTCTATAGTGGCACCAATAGCTACCTGCTGGAAGTATTTCTTTAAGGTTGCGATGCTGGTTTCGATGGGAAGATTGAAAATGAACATCAGGCGACCGCTAATATACTGGGAAGCTGCCGACTGGTTCCCCTTTGTCTCATGTTTTCTGAAATAGATGTAATGAGTTCCGTTACTTTCCGGTAGACGGACCGGAAGGATTTGAAATCCTTTGATTTCCGTGATGGTCATTGCGTTAGAATATACCAAGGTCTGCTCCTAGGAGATTTTTTGCTCACAGTTGCATGGGAGAGGTACATGCAGGTCTTGATGCCCTACAAGGAAATGTCCTCCACTACTTTTTCACGGTGTTTACGATGGTTGTCAAAGAATACGGGAAAAGGTTCATGAGTGAACTTTGATTGGCCATCTTCAAGCTTTTCCTTTGAAGAAGCTCTGTTGCTTTGATTAACTGTATGGTAAGGCTGAGAGTGCTACAAAGCAGCTGTTATTGAAAGAAAAATAAGAAGGAGGACACTTCAACTACTCGAAATTAATAACTAGATCTTTTTTTTCGAGTCACTATACAATATGTATCGCCTCTCCTGGAAGTATTCAGGTAATAGCTATCGGCTACTATGGAACTCACCAATTTGTGTGCAGGTTCAGTGTTTTCTCTTCTCCATATTTACTGATTTGAATACTGCGATCAAACAAGACATCATGGAATACAGAGGAAGAAAGAAAGATGGTATAGAGCAGTTCATCGAGCTGCCGCAGATAATCCGAGAAAACAGTCTTTCGCAACTTCGATACATGATCCTCATCGAAGGCTTGGGCATCCCTGAAGGATATGAACAATGCCCCTACCGTTCTTATGTTTGGTCAATTATGTGCAAAGTGCCAGTCTTTCCCGTACAAAAATACGCCAAGTTGATAAACAGCATCCCAAAGAAGCTTTCACCCGAACTATATCTGAAGATTAAGAATGACACTTTCCGAACATTGATGAATGACCGTACATTCCACTCCAAGGTGAGCGAAGACGTGCTAATGAGACTTCTTGCCGCTATAGCCATCTCAATACCTAACAGTAAAGTGGGGTATGTCCAGGGAATGAATGTCTTGCTTGCCCCAATAGCATATGTGTGTCATAAAAGTGAGCCACAGGCGTTTGCTATTTTCCACCATCTAGTCACAGAACAAATCCCCTTATACATCACTCCCAATTTGGATGGTGTACACACAGCTCTAAGTCTTGTGGATATGGTACTAAAGATCATTGATCCTGTGCTCAGTTCGTATCTTGACTCCAAATTTTTAAAGGCAGAGATTTATGCATTTCCTTCGGTGCTAACACTATGCGCGTGTACGCCTCGCTTGAAGTCTGTAATCAAACTTTGGGACTTTTTATTTGCATTCGGAACGCATATGAACATCTTGTTTATCGTGGCTCAGTTGATCCTCAATAGGTCAACTCTCCTCCAAACTCCACAGCCCATGAAAATCTTGAGAAGCTTCCCAAATTTAGAAGAAAATGACATAATCAAGCTTAGTCTAAGCTTCATCCCTGAAATCCCCAAAGAGCTATATGATCTTATAGCAAGACATGGGTATGACAAACGCGTTCCGGATGAAATAAAAGCATTTCAAGAAAAAAATGGTCTCTAGAACAAGCCTCTGATGTAATCTTCATGGTTGAAAAACGCACAGAGAACTGTTCTATCGTTATATGAACGGCCCGCTAAACCCATAATTGCGCTTAATGCAGTTTTCTCGTCTTCGTATTCAACAAAAACTTTTCCCACGCCAGGCTCATTAACTTCTTCAACACCAGGAGATTTTTTGTATGATGGCTTGGGTATTTTCAAAGACAAAACGGTACCAAATGTTTTCGCTTCCTCAAAAATATCCAGATAGATGAACTTATATGTCTCGTCGTTGCATAAATCTTCAATAGTGACGATATTGATAAGTTGTATGACCTTCAGCTTCGGATGAAATTGCACGTATTCGTTCCTGACCAATGATTTCAAGGTTTTGAAATCAATAGGACAGTCTTGGATGCTGGTTAGAGATGTATAGTTCTCTCCGATCTTTATGCATGAAAATTCAATTTTGCTGACAATATCCAATTTTTTGGCTTCTTCAACGTAGGTCCCGATGAGTTTCAATGCACTTTTCGTATTGGTGCATTCTTTTGAGCTGATGTAAAACTCGACAAACGCGACGCCTAATGATTCTTTTGTGCCGACTGCTCTGACAAGTTTGAACGCCTTAACCTTGGCGATTTTTTGTAAATCATCCAATAGCATTGTCTCGGTGACCAGTGGATCAACAAATATAGTGACTTTTCGAGGACTATCGATAACTTCGTCATCGATATCAGTTGCTTCCAGGGAATATGGAGGAAGGCACTGAACAACGTACTCTCCTGGTCTTTCCAAAGAGAGAACAACTGTCTCAGAGGATTCATTCTGGCTAATTTGTTCCATAGGAATGTCTTTTCCGTTCATCGTCAAAGCGAATGTAGCACATTGACTACTTTTAAACTGGATTATGAGACTTTTCCCATCTTTAGCTTTCTTTTTCAACTCGATATTGTCATCAAGAAACGTTCCCTCCAAGTCCGCAGAGCATAAATGCTTATTAATGTAGTCAGCCAATTTCAAGTAATCTACCTTCAGAAAATCAATATTTGTGACGATGACAGTGCGTGAGTGTCTAGAATCGATAGGATCAATTTTCGAAGTGGACAAAAGTACATCAGACTTGGCGCTGCCCTTTTCAATTGCATCTAACTTAGCAGGCTCAGCTGCCTGTGATCCAGGAAGTGGAAAGAGGCCAGATAATTTCGCTCTTTGTGCCGTTACGTCTTCAAACCCTTTTGGTCGAATTCCCCACTGAGAATTCTTGATTGGAAACGTACTTAACGTAGGGTATTTCAATTGCTCGATAAGAATCTTCTCGTATTTGGCTACTTTCTCCTCCTTGGTAAGGGATGCATCTGGGTTGAAATGGTTGTCTTGTTTCTCTCGTCTGTGGTCGCCTCTGTGTCTATTATTATCTCTTCGTGGGTTATACTTTTCGTACGGTCTGCCTCTATTATATTGGTTCCCATTCCCATACCTGCGATCTCTAAAGTTTGGTTCCCGATAGTCGTTATATCTCGACATTCGAGGGTCAACTCCTCGTGTATCTCTTTCTCTAAGATGTTCTCGTTCACCGGGAGCCAAGTCTCTGGGGTCTCTTTGGCGGGGATTTCTGTCTCGCAGATTGTGTCTATCAGAGCTCAGGTAACGATCACCGTCTCTTCTGGAGCCGGTATAGGAGTCTTTATTGCTCATCTGATGGTATGTATCTATATCAATGGTGTTAAAGCCATAGATGAGCACCTGCTAAATGCACTTCCACGCGCACTTTTAGAAATATTACGATACAGTTTATATTACAATACAGTTTCATACACTCATATACTACCTTTTTGATTATTGCAAAGATTGAATGGTTATAATTGCTCTATAGCTCATCATGATCCAAAGAATCATCAGAGTCGTCCGCATCCTCTCCAGAAGTAGCGGAATTTGTTTCATTGCTGTGGGAACTTGTCACAGTGGCAGATTTAGTGTGCTCGGATTCGATAGTAGGCGACTCTGTATTAGAATCGTAAGCATATTCATCTTTAGCCGATTCTTCCTCAGTAGAGTTCATCTCTTCCTTCAACTTCTTTTTGAGTTCCTTCTGTGCTCTTCTAGCTTTGATCTTGTCATACTGATTCAACAAGTAGCTTACTCTCTTCTCGTGGTTCTTCTGAAGGGATCCAATTTCGTTCAGCATTTCCTTGAGCAAAGACCGGATAAGTTCTGAGGTTTCAAATAGAGTCTTTTTGTCAAGCGCATTATACTTCTTGGCTGAAAGTTCGACCATGTTTGTCAAGTTTTTCAAGGAAGTCTTGAAGGTGCTGAACAAAGAATCAAGTTGAAATTTGTCAGCAGAATCCTTACCAAAAATGGCTTTCATAGCCTTTTCATTCTCTTTGTCAAAATCAATCGACTCTTCGTTGTACTTATCTCTGATCATGTTTATCTGCTTCCCGTACTCCAATAAATAATCCTGAACTTGAGAAGCAACATTGTTAGCTTCTTTTGCTAACGTTTGCAAAGTATTCTGAGATAAGTCTGCATTATGCATTTTGATTACCTTATCCACTTCTCCTTTGTGTTCGGAGATGGTTTTGAACTTCTCGTGAATCAGTTCAATTTCAGCATCATCAGCATCAAACTCAAGCCATTCCACTACTTCACTAGCAAGGACTCTTAATTCATCGAGCATCTCCTGTTAACCTGAT